ATGTAGTGTCCATCTTTAAAAAAGGGAAGAAGGAGGATCCTGGGAACTACAGGCCGGTCAGCCTCACCTCAGTCCCTGGAAAAATCATGGAGCATGTCCTCAAGGAATCAATTCTGAAGCACTTAGACAAGAAGAAAGTGATCAGGAACAGTCAGCATGGATTCACCAAGGGAAAGTCATGCCTGACTAATCTAATTGCCTTCTATGATGAGATAACAGGTTCTGTGGATTTATTCCTCGACTTTAGCAAAGCTTTTGACACGGTCTCCCACAGCAAGATAAAGAAGTATGGGCTGGATGGATGCACTACAAGGTGGGTAGAAAGTTGGCTAGATTGTCGGGCTCAACGGGTAGTGATCAATGGCTCCATGTCTAGTTGGCAGCCGGTATCTAGCGGAGTGCCCCAAGGGTCGGTCCATATGATTCTATGATTCTTCCACTTCCTGTCCTAAACTGAGGCACTGCCTAGACACGCCCAGTCATGAAGGAGTAGCCTGAATCATCCTGCTATTCCAACCATTTAAGGCCACTAGATCATTTATTCTTCTAGGTAGCACAGGCTGGTGAATTTCAATTAGCTCCCCCATTACTGAGCCCAATAACTTGTGTTTGACTCAGGCCTCTTCCAGAAAGGTGTCCCATCTGGCCTTGAAGGCATTAGGAGATGGAGAATCCAAACGCCTCTCTCAGGAGTTTGTTCCAATGGTTAATCACCCTCACTGGGAAACACTGGTGCCTTATTTCCAATTGTCTGGCTGTAACTTCCAGTGGCTGGTTCTTCTGCTTTACTCTGCTAGATTACCGAGCCTGGGGTTTTCCTTAAGCAGTACATATCCCCTATCGTCCCCACAGACCACCAGGTTTGCTTAGTGAAGAGACCTGAGCCCTTGGATGAAATCACATGCCCCCCATACACACTTTTTCTTTTTCTGGAAGGAGGACAGTTTGGTTCATTTTACGATTCCTATTTGCCTCCCGTGCATCCTCTTGTCCTCCCGCCCTTTGCAGTCTTCTCTGTTTAGATTACAGGCTCTTTCCGGCAACGATCTGAGCATGTGTGTCTGTACAGCGCCAAGCACAATGAGGCACTGATCTCACGGGGGGGGGGGGGGGGGGGCCTGGAGACAAATGGAAACGGGGGCACCCAGAGCCACTGAAATGGGGAAATGAGGGACCTTGGTATGGAAGATGAGGGACCTGGGGCGACACACAAAGCCCTTGGCATAGGGGCGATTGGGGGGGGGTGTTTGCAGGGAGTCTCAGCAACAGGGGGATGGGAGAGTGGCATTCAAAGCAGTTTGTGGGGGGGATGGAGGGTGCATACAGTGAGCTCAGTGAAGAGTGCAACCCCATGGTATTATTTATTAGGTGTATTACGGTAGCACCTAGGAACCCCAGTTCTGGCCCAGAAGCCCATTGTGCTAGGTGCTGTACATCATTATTGAATCACAGAATAACAGACTTGGAAGGGACCTCTGGAGGCCATTTAGTCCAACCCCCTGCCCAGAGCAGGACCAATCCCAACTAAATCATCCCAGCCAGGGCTTTGTCAAGCCTGACCTTAAAAACTTCTAAGGAAGGGGATTCCACCACCTCCCTAGGTAACGCATTCCAGTGTTTCACCACCCTCCTAGTGAAAAAGTTTTTCCTAATATCCAACCTAAATCTCCCCCACTGCAACTTGAGACCATTACTCCTTGTCCTGTCATCCACTACCACTGAGAATAGTCCAGATCCATCCTCTTTGGATCCATCTTTCAGGTAGTTAAAAGCAGCTATCAGATCCCGCCTCATTCTTCTCTTCCGTAGACTAAACAATCCCAGTTCCCTCAGCCTCTCCTCATAAGTCATGTGTTCCAGACCCCTAATCATTTTTGTTGCCCTTCGCTGGACTCTCTCCAATTTCTCCACATCCTTCTTGTAGTGTGGGGCCCAAAACTGGACACAGTACTCCAGATGAGGCCTCACCTATGTCGAATAGAGGGGAACGATCACGTCCCTCGATCTGCTGGCAATGCCCCTACTTATACACTCCAAAATGCCATTGGCCTTCTCGTCCACTGTCACCCCTAGGTCCTTCTCTGCAGAACTGCTGCCGAGCCATTCAGTCCCTAGTCTGTAGCGGTGCATTGGATTCTTCCGTCCTAAGTGCAGGACTCTGCACTTGTCCTTGTTGAAGCTCATCAGATTTTTTTGGCCCAATCCTCCAATTTGTCTAGGTCCCTCTGTATCCTATCCCTCCCCTCCAGCGTATCTACCTCTCCTCCCAGTTTAGTGTCATCCGCAAACTTACTGAGGGTGCAATCCACACCATCCTCCAGATCATTTATGAAGATATTGAACAAAACCGGCCTTGGGGCACTCCGCTAGATACCGGCTGCCAACTAGACATGGAGCCATTGATCACTACCTGTTGAGCCCGACAATCTAGCAAACTTTCTACCCACCTTGTAGTGCATTCATCCAGCCTATACTTCTTTAACTTGCTGACAAGAATACTGTGAGAGACCGTGTCAAAAGCTTTGCTAAAGTCAAGGAATAACACGTCCACTGCTTTCCCTTCATCCACAGAACCAGTTATCTCATCATAGAAGGCAATTAGATTAGTCAGGCATGACTTTCCCTTGGTGAATCCATGCTGACTGTTCCTGATCACTTTCCTCTCATCTAAGTGCTTCAGAATTGATTCCTTGAGGACATGCTCCATGATTTTTCCAGGGACTGAGGTGAGGCTGACCGGCCTGTAGTTCCCAGGATCCTCCTTCTTCCCTTTTTTAAAGATGGACACTACATTAGCCTTTTTCCAGTCGTCCGGGACTTCCCCCGATCGCCATGAGTTTTCAAAGATAATGGCCAATGGCTCTGCAATCACATCCGCCAATTCCTTTAGCACTCTCGGATGCAACGCATCCGGCCCCATGGACTTGTGCACGTCCAGTTTTTCTAAATAGTCCCGAACCACTTCTTCCTTCACAGAGGGATGGCCACCTCCTCCCCATGCTGCGCTGCCCAGTGCAGTAGTCTGGGAGCTGACCTTGTTCGTGAAGACAGAGGCAAAAAAAGCATTAAGTACATTAGCTTTTTCCACATCCTCTGTCACTAGGTTGCCTCTCTCATTTAGTAAGGGGCCCACACTTTCCTTGGCTTTCTTCTTATTGCCAACATACCTGAAGAAACCCTTCTTGTTACTCTTAACATCCCTCGCTAGCTGCAACTCCAGGTGTGATTTAGCCTTCCTGATTCCATTCCTACATGCCCGAGCAATATTTATATACTCATCCCTGGTCATTTCTCCAATCTTCCACTTCTTGTAAGCCTCTTTTTTGTGTTTAAGATCAGCAAGGATTTCACTGTTAAGCCAAGCTGGTCGCCTGCCATATTTACTATTCTTTCTACACGTTGGGATGGTTTGTCCCTGTAACCTCAATAAGGATTCTTTAAAATACAGCCAGCTCTCCTGGGCTCCTTTCCCCCTCATGTTATTCTCCCAGGGGATCTTGCCCATCAGTTCCCTGAGGGAGTCAAAGTCTGCTTTTCTGAAGTCCAGGGTCCGTATTCTGTTGCTAATTATTAGGTGTATTACAGAAGCACCTACCAGCCACGCCCCCCCGACCAGAAACCCTACTGTAACAGGCACAGTACAAAGACAGAACAAAAAAGTGGCCCCTGCCCCACAGAGTTTCCCTTTCAAATAAAAAGAAAACAGGTGGAGACAGACAAAGACAGACAGACACAAGGATCCAATCCCGGGCAGGGTGACGGGCAGCCGTCCGCCCCTTTCTGAGGGGCAGGGCTGAGCCTGGCCAGGTGATTGGCGGAAGAGCCGACAGCAGAAGTAACAGAAAACTCGCCACGGGGGGCTGCATCCGCACACGCCTCATGCATGTGCCGGCCCCAAGCGTCCACAAACCCCCGAGGCAAAAATTCACAAGACTGGCTTGAACGTCAGGCAAACACAGAAACGGGGGGCTGGAAGGGACCTTGAGAGGTCAACCAGTCCAGCCCCCGGGGCTGAGGCAGGCCCAAGTAAACCTGTACCATCCTTCATTGGGGTTTGTCCAACCTAAAACAATGACGCGGATCTCACCAGATTTCAAGTGTCAGGGAGAGAAGGGATTATTGGCCTTCTGATTTCTGAGCCTTTTTTAAAAAGAAAGCATGAGCAGAGATTTTTAATCATCATCATCATCAAAGAAAAAAAAGTAACAGGCTCTTACAGATGCCAAAGCCAGCAGGGACCAGAGTCATCGAGTCTGACCCCATCTATAGGACTTCCCCAAAATAAAATTACAAAGCACTTTTTACCTGCGGCGCTCAAAGCATTTCATAACCTTGACTTGTCATGACACCTGTGAGAGGCAGGGCAGCGCTATACAGATGGGGAAAGTGAACCCCGGATAGGCTAAATGATGTGACCTTAAGGTCACGCAAGGAAGTTTATGGTGAACCAGGGAATGGAACCCAGGTCTCCCAAGTCTTAGAGGAGGAGGATTATATTCCTAGCCTATGCATATAATAAGATCCAAGGAGTGTCGCTCTATTTGTGTGTCACTCTGAAGCCTACAATGTCTGTTGGGTCAGGGTGAAGCGAAGCAAACAGTTACAAGCAGGTTCAGTCACCCCTGAGATTCACAGATTCCAGAGCCAGAAGGGACCGCTGGGATCTCATCTGACCTCCTGTGTAACACAGGCCGGACAACTTCCCCACCATAGTTCCTAGGGCAGATCTAGATTTACAAATCTGCAGCCTGTTACCCATGCCGGGAATATATCAGCATATCAGAGGTAAGTCAACCAAGCACCACCATTACTCTGCAGCTAATTTGCATGCAACAATTTTCATTGGCGACTGCACAGATGGCAGATTACTTGTCCCAGCTGCCATGGTCTTACAGCCCAGGCTTTCACCTAGTTTTTTACATAATCCCAGGACTCAAGGAGCTGGAGATTTAAGAGAAAACACACCAATTATTGCACAGAATGAGATCTGCTGTACTAACCTGCAGTTCACACCAGGCTACCTCAACCCACGTCTCTGTGTCAAGCCCTTTGAAGACAGTTTTAAAGGCCCCTCGGCCCAACTCGATATCAAACTTCAGGAAGCGGCCGCTGGGCGAGGTGGCCACTGCTTTCATCTCCGCCTCCTCTTCGATCTCCTTCTTGGTCTTCTCCTTGGAGGCCTCTGAAATCGCCTTAGAACCCAACTCATTCCTGGCCTCCTGCCCCAGCACACTGGCAGAGAGCTGGTCCCCTCGGCGACCGCCCGCAACCAGCTGCTCCCGCTCATCCCTGGGAGATGGTTCAGCGGTTCTGTCCTCCTCCATGATCTCCACGCTCTTCCGGAAGAACCGCTTCCGTTCCATGGCACCCCCCGGAGGCCGGGCGCCGGCGGGCTCCATGATCAAAGCAGCTTCGATGGTCGGGATCCTGCCGTCCAGAGAAACTCCATCAGGTTTTTCTGGATCTTCCGTGCTGGCCGGCTCACCGGAATCTGTAGCCATTGGTACCTTTCGCCTGTGTCCTCCCTCCTCACAGCCGGCACGACGTTACTAGGACTTACTTCCTCTCAGAGCATCCCCATAGCAACCTGAAAGGAGACCGGGGGGTGGGGGTGGGAGAAGAATAGGATCATTTCAGAAGGTAAATCATGAAGCAGCTGCCAGAAGTGCAAAATCTCTGGGGGCTTCTTCCCCCCTGCCAGCGAAGGAATGAACTGGGGAGTCGCTCGGCAATACTAACTCGGCTCCCTGACCAAGATGAAGGCCAACACTGTGCTGTACGCAGTGTTCCCCCCCTCCCCGACTGAGACCACAGGCCCTTCATGGTTCTAGACACTGTAGAGAGCCACCCAATCAATACCAAGGTGTTTTGTTCTGTGGGGCACCATACAGGCCCTTGTGGCACCGGACAAGCCCTGACAGAGATAGGGGCCCCTCTGCACCAGATGCTGTACAAACCCATAGCAAGAGATGGCCCAGGCCCAGAAGAACAAACAAAAGGTGGGAGGGGAAACTGAGGCACAAAGACGGAGGGTGATATGCCCTGCGCATCAGCCGTGCAGCCAAGAAGAGAAACTCCCAGTTCCTCATAACTCAGTAAATGTCTCTTCCCTCTGGATTTGCTAAGATGCATTGGCTCAGACATACTGGCCTCTTAGCTTGTAAGTTCTCGTGGCCAAGGGGCTGTATTTATTTTCTGTCCTGAGCACATTATGGGTCCTTAATTAATCATTTCTAACCAAGCCCAGTGAACCCTGGGTTTCCAGCCAAGATGAAAGCACAGCAACTGCAATACGCAAGGGTCCAGATGCGGTTTTGCAAGTTTGAATTTTTAAAGAGCTCCCACGCACACGTAAATTTCCCTGCTCAATGAAAGTGCATTTAATCAATGAGAACACCGGACCAAGGAAATGTGAAATGGAGAGACGAATTAACGGACTCCACTATGATCTCTACGGATACCGCTGCCGTGTCAAGCTACTTCCTGGAACTGCGTTACAACAACGCCCCATCAGGAACACCAGGCTCAGTTCTGGGGGCTGCCTTTTTGAAAGGATCCCAGAGCTGGGGATAGAACCCAGAAGTCCTGGCTCCCAGCCTCCCCTGCTCTAACCACTAGACCCCACTCCCCTCCCAGAGCCAAACAAAAACCCAGGAGTCCTGGTGCCCAGCCCCCTGCTCTAACCACTAGACCCCATTCCCCTCCCAGAGCCAAGGATAGAACCCAGGAGTCCTGGCTCCCAGAGGTAACAGAATTAAGTTCCCTGGCCTGTATTATACAGGAGATCAGACTAAGGATCTAATGATTCCTCCAGGTCTTAAAATCTATGAATCTACTTAGCTGCCACATGCCCCAAAAGCCACCACTTGCATTCTGGAGCCAAGTGATCAAATGGGGGTCGTTTTTTGCAACTACAATTCACTTCTGAAATTTCCCAGGACAGGGCACACGCTGTCAGATCAGATCAGATGCTGGCAATTTAGGAAAGGGGGTCCCAATAAGCAGGGCACGGAGGCCCCTGATGCACCAATTCCTCTATGTACACAGTGTGAAATTAAGAAAGAGGAAGCGTAGGACTGATGATCAGGGAAATCGGCTAACAGCAAGAGCTGGTTTGACTGTGGGAAAGTGATCTCATGGGACACTTAAGACTACTCAGATTGCAAAGTTTCATTATGTGTTCATATAGCTTCTAGCCCAACAGGGCCCGACATGGGTTACTGCATACTTACTCATATTGCCATACCACAAAAGTCAGCTTAATATCCCTTCCAGAATTCGTTACTACTCCTTATAATGACTTTAAATAGTCCTGATAGCCATATAAGTGTCCAGTCTCTTTTCTGAACCTGGTTAAGTTCTCAGCCTCATCACTTTCCTACGGCAAGGAGTTCCACAGTCATTTGCTGTGTGGAAGAAGTCTTTTAGCCACCTTTAGTGTCTCTTCTGGTGTTAGGACAAAGGGAGAGCAGGAGTTCTATGCCTACCTTACATATCCCAGTCATTATTTCAGTTCCTTTTATCATGCCCCTTCTTATTCACAGACGAGAAGGCCAGAAGGAAAAACTATCACCGTCTAGTCTGATCTCCTGTACAACACAGGACCCTGAACTTCCCTAGACTAATTTGTGCTTGAACTACAGTAGATCTTTCAGAAAAACACCCCAATCTTGATTTTAATATTGTGCCACCATGACCCTTGGGAAACTGTCCCAGTGGTTAATTACCCTCCCTGGTAAAAATTCATGTGGTAATAGCCAGCCCCCATCCTAAAGAGCTTACAACCTAAACTGAGAACCAGTCTGAACTCAATAAGGCGGAATTTCTGTAAAGAGAAGCGCAAAGTACTACACTCTGGAAGGAAAAAATTAAATCCACCACGGTCAGGCAGCAGGACTGCAGAAAAGGACTCAGGGGTTTTACTGGGTCATAAATTGAACATGTGTCAACAGTGTGATGCAAACAAGACAAATGTCATTCTGGGATGTATGAACAGGAGAGTCATACGGAAGACACGGGAAGTAATTGTCCCCCTCTACCCGGCACTACTCAGGCCTCAGCTGGAGTACGGTGACCAGTTTGGGGCACTGCACCTTAAGAGAGATGTGAACGAACTGGAGAGTCCAGAGGCAAGCAACAAAAATGATCGGTGACTTAGAAAACATGAGGCAAGGTTGAGAGAACAGGCATGCTTAGCCTAGAGAAGTGAAACGGAGAGGAGAGGAGAAATAATAAGGATCTTTAAATATGTCGAATAAGAGGACGGTGACCAAGAGTTCCCCATTTCCACAGAGAACACAAAAGCACCGTTTGCAAGCGGTAAGACGGACTAAGGGACCGAAGTAGGTTTTTTGCCATCTTCTATTTCTTTACATTCTGCAACTGCCCCCAACCCCCTCTGCCTCAGGCCTCTTCTCCGCTGGGAAAATCCGTCATGTTAGAACTCAGGGGAACTTCAGGGAGCCCAGGAGCAGCTGGCTTTTATTTAATCATGGCTGTCCCTTAGAAATCATGGACGTGCAGGCCTGGCAGGGACCTCGAGAGGTCACCTAGTCCAGTCCCCTGCACTGAGAAAGAGGGGGGTAGGATTAAATATTATCTAGACCATCCCCGACAGGGCTTTGTCTAACCTGCTCTTAACAACTTCCAGTGATGGAGATTCCACAACCTCTGTAGGGAATTTGTTCCCGTGCTTAGTTACCCTGACAGTTTGGAAGTTTTTCTTAATGTCTAACCTAAACCGCCCTTGCTGCTATTTAAGCACATTGCTTCTCGTCCTGTCCTCAGCGGATAAGGAGAACAACCTTTTCTGTACTTAAAAACTTGTCAACATGTCCCACCTCAGCCTTCTCTTCTCAGATTAAACAACCCCCGCCCCTTTTTTTTTTTTTTTTTTTTAAATCTTGCCAGTCGGAGATCATGTTTTCTAGACCTTTCAACATTTGTGCTGCTCTCCTCTGGGCTGTCTCCAGTGTGCCCACATCTTTCCCAAACTGTGGTGCCCACAGCTGGACATAGCACTGCAGTTGAGGTCTCATCAGTGCTGAGTAGAGCGGAAGAATTACATCTCATGTTTTGCTTACAACACTCTTGCTAAAACAACCCAGAATGAGGTTTGCTTTTTGGGGGTTTTTTTGCAACAGTACTATATTGTTGACCTATATTTAGTTTGTGGTCCACTATGACCCTCAGATCCTTTTCCGCAGTACTCCTTCCTAGGCAGTCATTTCCCATTTTGTGTGTGTGCGACTGCTTGTTCCTTCCTAAGTGGAGTACTTTGAATTTGTCCTTATTGAATTTCATCCTATTTACTGCCGATCATTTCTCCAATTTGTCCAGATCATTTTCAATTCTAATCCTGTCCTCCAAAGCACTTGCAACCCCTCCCAGCTTGGTATCGTCCACAGACTTTACCAGTGTACTCTCTACGCCGTTATCCAAATCATACATGAAGATATTGAACAGAACCAGACCCAGGACAGATTCCCTTGCCCACACTAAAGACAAAAGCTCTGGTACCTCACAGGGGACTTTTTCTACTTCAATGAATTTGCCCACACAACAACAAACTGAAAACAAGGAAATACGTCCAACGGGGAACTACAGCACCATGTAACGAACCAGAAGAGCACAAATTCCACAAAAGGGCTTGACTTCAAAGGCCCACCCCATTCCACCAGCGGCAATGACAAAAAAATCCCAGCCCGGTGGTTTTCAGCTCAGCTGTATTTTATTATTCACATTAAAGTAGTCCAGCTGAGATCCGGGTCTCATTTGGCCAGGAACTCGACCAACACGTAAGAAGATTATAAACTCTTCAGAGCAGAGCACATTTGTACGGCTTCTAACCCAGGACCCTGGCCTCATGGCCATGTGCAGTATAACTGTTCACAGAATCATAGATTATAAAGCCAGACACGACCACCGGGATCCTCTACTCGGCCCACCAGGAGCCCAGAATTCACTCCAGGTTGAACCAGAGCAGATCTTTGAGGAAAAAAACACCCCATCTTCATTCAAAAATGGCCAGTGATGGAGAATCCAGCACAGTCTTCAGTAAGGTGTTCCAGGCATGAATTCCCCTCCCTGTTAAGAAGGTGAACCTTAAACTACGTCACAAGCTCATCTTTCCTCTCTTAGCTCAACCCTCATACACAGAGCAGTGACCCAAAAGAAATAAACCCAGGAGACCACCTTCCTGAGGGAGGAGAAGATATACCACAACACAGAGAGACAAGGGATCCAGAAAGCGCACCAACCAACTTCATCTGGCTAGAAAGATCCAAGATCTGCTAATGATGGGGGAAGGTGGGGGAGGGACAAGACAACAAAAATACAGGATTCATAGATTTTAAGACCATAATGCACTGCTATGATCATCTAATCCGACCTCTCCTATAATTAAACTTGACAGAATTCAATTTTTTTTTTTTAATTTTGACGGATATCATCTGTGTTCATTTTAAGCATTTTTTTCCTATTTTCATCCATTTAAATTTGCAAAGTTGTGTAAATTTATGGATTTGAAGCATTTTTCCCTATATTTATCAATTTAAATTTTCACAGTTGCTGAAAATTAATGGAGGAGGGGCCAGACAATAATTATATAATGACGGTAGATGTTGAGATTCAAAAAGTCAACACTTGATAGCCATTAGAATGCAAACTGTCAACAACACCCATCAAAATACATAAAGTAAGTATCCTTAAATCAAAGTTCTCAAGCAGCATTTGTCTTACTTTGCCTATCGGTACATCTCAATTACTATCTTCCTGGGTGTGCCTGTGGACAGTGAAATCAACGTCTGCAAACACTTACTGATAAAAATCTAAGCCTTCCAAGATTACATATAGCATAGGCCATAGCAACTCATCCAGATTAGAGTAGGGTTCTTGTGCTCTGAGAAAAGCAGTGTGATCTGTTGGGTAGGGGACATGATCGGAGACTGCTACACCCAATAGGCCAGTGATAGAACCCAGGAGTACAGGATGGTGCCGCAGTCACTTTGGGCCGTAGTCAAATGAGATATAGACTCCCATCTGGGAACAAAGATTGTAGGCCGTATTGATGGGATGGGGGACTCTCCCCGGGGAAACCGTGACTCTGAAAAAGATTTGGGGGTCATGGTGGAGAATTAGCGGAACACGAGCTCCCAGCGTGACACTGGGGCCAGAAAGGCAAACGCGATCCCGGGATGTATAAACCGGGGAATCTTGAGTAGGAACAGGGAAGTTCCATGACCTCTGGATTTGGCCCTGGTGCGAATCCTGCGTCCAGTTCTGGTGTCCGTGGTTCAAGGAGGATGTTGGCAAATTGGGGAGGGTTCAGAGAAGAGCCATGAAGATGATTCAAGATTCCGGGAATGGAATCTATTAAGTTTAACCAAGAGAAGGTTAAAAGTAGACCCGATTGCAGTCCAAGTACCTCCACAGGGAACAAATACTTAATCAGCGGCTCTTCAATCTAGCACTCAAAGGTCTAACACAATCCAATGGCTGGAAGTTGAAGCTAGACAAATTCAGACTGGAGAGAAGTGTACATTTTTAACAGCGAGGGGACTTCACCACTGGAACAGATTACCAAGATATACTCAAGTAGAACACTGCATTCTCTCTCTCTCTCTCACACACATACATACACACGAATCACGAAAGGCTCAGCACCTCACAAGACCATCCTGACAGGAACATCTGAAATGTACTGAATGGAAAACCAAAGTAAATGAAAGCCATTCTGTCAAACACTAGACACAGGAACAAATCAGTGGGGGCGGGAAAGAACACCACAGAAATGCTCTCAACATTTGCAGGGAAGAAATTCTAATTATTCTGCTTAGTGCTTTGAAGAGTGAAAGAGCTACAGAAATGCAACACATTGTTATTATCAACCACCATGGCAAAATGGAACAGACGACAGGGAAAATGTGTTATCTGCCAAGGCCAACAATAAAAGATGGGGTTGAAAAAAGAACTAGCTAAAGTTCAGGCAGGATCGGTCCATCAATGGCTATCAGCCAAGATGGTCAGAGATGTAACCCCATGCTCTGAGTATCCCGAGCCTCTGATCTCAAGCTAAGATGACTGATTGGATTTTTTTTTTTTTAAGACATGCTCTAGTTCAAAAGGAATTATTATGGGGAAGTTCTATGGCCTGTGTTATACAGGTGACACAAGATAATCACAACTACCGGCCTTGGAACCGAGCAATCTACAAATTTACAAAGAGGTCACCATTCAGACGCAAAACAGTGACGAATTCAAGAATTCACATTGCAAATGAAAGTGGCGACCGATACGACTTTGTGTTAAAGAGTTAGCCCCAGATCCTTGAATCCTTTCCATGGCTGAACAATCAAAAGCCACAGAATGCACCAGCACAACAGGGTTTGGACTATGAGCTGTCATTTCTGGCAAAGTCAAAAGGTTCTCACAGACTAAGCCATTTTCTTTCACTTTAAACAAACATTTCAGCCTGGATAAGGTCAGAGACACATCGGCATGCATTTGTTTTAACACTGCTCCTCAAAATGAGGTGCTTTTTGTAAGACAGAAATACATCCTGTGGGCATGTTTCTCAAATATGAACAGCAACGTTCACCAGTACTTGGGGGGACATTTCTCCAAACAGGGAAAGTGGGGTCTACATGGACACGGGTTGGGAGTTGAAGCTAGACAAGTTCAGACTGGGAACAAGCCGCTAATTTTGAACTATTTGAGGAATTAACCATTAGACTGATTTAACAAGGGGCATAGTGGAGTCTTCATCACCAAAAATTTTTAGATCAAGATGGGATGCTTTTCTCAAAGATCTGCTCTTGTTCAGCCAGGAATTCATTCAAGGGAGTTCTCTGACCTGGGTTACACAGGAGGTCAGATGTGGGTGGGTATACCTGCATAAAGACACCTTACACTTGCCTCCCTCATTCCATTTCTTGTATAGGAAGAAGCTATGCTGATATAACTGCAACCAAGGGTGGTGCACCACTTTAACCCTCCCAGTGTACTTAAGTATAGTTAAAGCAGGTTAACTTGCATGTATAAACAAGACCTTACATATTCAGAAAGTTGTATTCAGTCCCAGTTTACAGGGGAGGGGAAATCAAGCACAGAGAGATTAAGTGATTTGGCCAAAATAACAGAGCTCATCGGTGGCAGAAAGAGAACCCAGGCGTCCTGGCTCCCAATGCTACTGACCTAAACTTCGTACAATTATTATTATGCACTTATATAGGGGTACTGCCCGGGTGCACTAAGCATGAATTGAGACCCCCATTTTGCTGAGTGCTCTACAAACATAAACACTACCCCCACCTCCAAGTTAGGGACAGAACCGAGGAGTCCTGGCTCCCAGCTCCCCCCACCCCTGTGCTCTAACCCATTAGAATGCACACCCATCCCAGAGCGAGGGATAGAAACTCCCAGCCTCTACCTTGCTGCTCTAACCACACGACCTCACTTCCTTCGCAGAGCCAGGGATAGAACCCAGGAGGCCAGGTCCCCTGCTCTAATTGACTAGATACCCACCCCAGAGTTAGGGATGGAACTCAGGTGTCACGGCTCACAGACCCGCACCCCCAACCCACTGGCCCCACTCCCCTCCCAGAGTCAGGAGTAAAGCCCAGGGGTCCCAACTCCCCACAGCACTACTAAACCCCACCCAAAGTCTGAACCTTCCCTTCTTTCATTAAAAGATTGTATCTATTTTCTGCAAAGGTTTTTTTTCCTTCTTTAGAAAACCTGCCATGACCCCCACCAAATATAAAAAAGTTCACAAAGTACTTAGTCAAATCGTATAATTACCACTAACGCTACCATCAAATTGGAAACCTCACCTTGCCACCCCTTTCCAGGGGAACTTACCCAGCAGTCCTCCCCAGTCAAACCTCCTGCTGTTTTCTAGGGCTGTTCTCTGGACAGTCAAAAGCATGCACACAGAAAAACAAAAAAGGCTGACTAGCAATTTTCCCTCCTCCTTTTCGAGATGTCTGAGCTTGTGATTAACAGAGCACTGAAACAGCCAGCTACAAACAATGCAAATAACTTCTGCTTTCACTCTGAAGTCTAGCGATGTCTCGAGCAACATATCGCTCACCATTGTTTGGCAGAGCAGAGCTCCAGAAGAGCCCATTGATCCTCTCGTGAGTCTGACTTCCTGTATAGCGCAAGCCATTTTCACCCCGTTCTCCCTGTCCTTTACCCGATCCCCATGGGAACTGACCGCTAATGACAGGAATACAAGGAAAGAGGAGGGTTGCTCCAGGCATCAGATCGCTGGTCTGGCGCGTCGAATACCGAATATCCGGTCCAATTCCCTGCTCCCCACAGCCTTCCCACCTAACTCGAGGTGAGCCAGTAAAGCCAGAGCCACCTGCAGGTTTTTGTACTGGTATAACTATTAGACACAATGGTCCCGGGTCCCTGCCTGGGACTGTGAGCTGCTACCGGAAGGCACCTAATATAAAACATACAGCACCCAGCACAATGGGGTCCTGGTCAATCCCTGGGGTGCTGAGCTGCTACTGTAATACACCTAATATATAATGTACAGGTGCTACCATAATACATCTAATATATTAAATTCAGCACAATAGAGTCCTGGTCCAGGATTTGGGCTCTCAGGCCCTACCATAGTACACCTAATATATAGCTTACAGTACCTAGCACAATGGGGTCCTGGTCCAGCACTGGGGCTCTGAGCTGCTACCGTAATATACCTACTACATAACGTACAGCACCCAACACAACGGGGTCCTGGTCCAGGACTGGGGCGCTCAGTTGCTACTGTAATACACCTAATATATAGCACACACTACCCATCACTGGGACCCTGATGTGCTACCATAATACACCTAATATATTACGTACAGGGACCCACAAAAAGGAGTCCTCATCCAGGACTTGGGCTCTCAGGCTCTACTGTAATACACCTAATATACAATGTACAGCACCCAGCGCAATGGGATCCTGGTGCAGGACCGAGACGCTGAGCTGATACCATAATACATCTAATATATAATGCACAGAACTTAGCATCATAGGGTCCTGGTCCAGGCCTGGGGTTCTGAGCTGATACCATAATACACCGAATAACATACAGCAACCAGCACAATGGAGGACAGGGGCCCTCAGGTATTACCGTAATACACCTAATAAATAATGACAGGCTTGTCTACACACAACAGTTGTACAGGTTTAACTACAGTTAACTATTCCCCTATGGTGGACACAGTTATATCAGTACAAATAGGCTTTATACCGCTAGAATTACTCCCCGACGGGAAGGGACCAGTATAAGGCATCTCTATACCAGTATAACGGCTTCCCTGTACTCGTATAACACTTATGCAGTCGTGACACACACACACACACACACCCCAAAGCATCCAGCTCAGTATTAATTTATTTCTTTGCACTAACATATTTGTATTCCTGTATTCAAATTCTTGCCATCATCTGATATGTGGCTGTCACCCCTACTGGCGAAGCCAGTTTACCCAGACTCTCCGCGGCACTGCAAAAGCCACTATACCTTCCTGGCTTCCCGCTGCGTCTTTCCAAGGCCGGCGGCTACCAAGCAACCGAAATTCCAAGCCGTGGGAGATTTCGTCGTCACTAACATGACCCAGATACTGACATCTGTGTTGTCCTGAACTCACCACTGGCAACAAGAAATAAAACGGGGGACCACAATGATGGACTCAATCAGTGAAGCAGGCTTTTTTTTAAAGAAAAAAAACAGGACATGACTTGCACAACTTAAGGGATCAAAAAATAAAATAAAAAAAGAACAACTCAAAAGCAATCACGTAAGACAAATATCACTGCGTGAATAAAGGAGAACGCCTGGCACTTTAAATCTTTTATGCAGAAGCAAGGAATAGACAGCTCAATTTCTTTTCTGCGTTACGACACAGCTTAACTGTAAAGCAAGCCTCGTTCCCACAAATCCCTGTCCCCTAAAAATCTAGCAGGGATCCCCTACACAAACCCTCGCTTGGGAGCACGGTATAAATTACAAGAGGAAGGTACAGTTACAAAGAACGGTTCTAAGCAGCCATTCATAAACTGGTATTTCGTTTCACAGATCAGCTGAGCAGGGAATTGCAATCCACTTCCTCCACCCCCAAAATAAATCTACGCGAAAGGAAATTGTTTTTAACCAGGAAAACCCCACCTCCCCAGATCAGATGAATCCAGGTTGCTATAAAAAAATTTTAAAAAATAATTCCAAAGAGGTGGAGGAAGAAAGCTACCAAGCCACACACAAAAGGTCTCACAAACAGCTGCAGACTGAGGCACAATGGGGTACAGCCAGCAAACGACAGAAGCCACATTAAAAAAAAATGAGGTCGGGGGGAGTTAATTCTCCATCCAGTGACTCTGTGGCAACGTTTAGAGGCAGGGGTTAGAAAACTGAAGCAAAAAGTCTTTTCCTCCCCACCACCATAAGGGTAACACCAGATTTCCACAGGCATCTCCCGGCAAATAACGCACCTACATACACCATCAATAAATACACCTGTTTCCCCAACACACGCTAAATAAGCATCCTTCACCAATAGCGTGCACACACTCACACTATACGCACACTAACAAATCATCCTGCAAACACATCCCACCCACACCCGCTCACAAATGCCACCACCCCCACCCCAAATCCCTGGCTGTATCCATTTGGCCCCAATTTCTAACCATGTTCGGCAGAAAGAGAAGCATTGCAGACAGCATGGAGTCCCACGCACAATGCACCCCCCAGACTACACACACCCACTCCTCCTCCCCTTTCCCTCACGAAATCCCCCCCCCACCAAGATTGCAGGACTTCAATTAAATCCTTAAGGGGGTGGATTGCTCCATCCCTCCATCTCTGTTCCCGGGCTCCCCCCAACAAGGCAGCCAAAGGAGGGGCAGTGCATCTGGGGAGAAGACCCCCCCACCCACACACACAGGCACACTCTTCCTCTTGAGGAAGAACTTCCGGGGGACAGCAAAAACAGTCTGCCGAGCAGGTGAAGAAGCAATTCTTTCTCCTCCACCCGCTGTCTGGGCTGTGCTATTGCCAGCAGAGTCTCTGCCACAGAGGAAGGAGTTTGTAGGTGGGGTGGACCATCTGCCCCAGCCAAGGGGGAGAAGGATGGAGATGGGGAGGGGGTGAAATAAAGGCAGATTACCCGGATGTCTCCTTCCCCTCCCCATCCCCCCTCGGGGAGAATTCAGCTGTGATACCTCAGAGGTGTCAAACCCCTGCAAAGTTAAGAGAGAATCTGTCAATATCCACTTTTCCCCGGCCACAGTTAACTCAGCCCACTAATGCTTTATTGGCATGGCAAGGTGCCAAAGTGTGAGAGGCGCGCACTCACACACGCACAGAAGATTCCCAGACCCTTGTTAGCCACGCACACAACACCCCGTTGGCTCACACACACACCACCTGATTCAATGCACATCTCCACTACGTGCCTGATACTGGTACTGAGGTAGCGTCTAAGAGTTTTGCAAGGCCCTGTGCACACCTGTAACAAAAAGATGTACGGTGTGCCATCCCCTCTCAGATGTGGGAAAAAGAACCCAGGCATCCCGGCTCCCAGACCTCCCGCACACACACACACACTCTAACCACTAGACCCCACTCCCCTCCCAGAGCGGAGGATGGAACCCAGGAGTCCTGGCTCCCAGCCCCCCCCCCCGCTCTAACCACTAGACCCCACTCCCCTCCCAGAGCGGAGGATGGAACCCAGGAGTCCTGACTCCCATCCCCCTCCCCAACAGCCCTGAATTCCCAGGGTCTCCCTATTGTTCTGCCCATCGGCCACTGTGCCCCGGGGAACACCCTGCCGCTTGCAACCTGACACCCCTCGCTCCACCTACACCCCACCACCAGGGACGCACGGTCCCCAAAGACCGCACGGTCCCATCGTATTGGTTCCTGCCTTCGTGGAGCTGGGGGGGCGGGTCTCTTCATTCACCCCCACCAAATAAGGGTCCCCAGCTTCTGACCCTCCACCCAATCCTCCCCAGACACATGCGCCTCCCCTTCTTCCTTCCCCACCCCCTCCCTGCACCCCAATTCCCTCCCTGGGCCTGCCCCAGCCCAAGTACCCCCTCCCTCCATTTATCCCATTCCCTCCCTTTATTCCACTCTCTTCCTCCCCCGTGTACCCCAATCCCCTTCCTCATTCACCCTACATCCCCCAGGTCCCCCCCGCACCCTCCTCCATAGGCCTTATTCCCCCCATTCCCTTCTGCACGTCACCCCGTTTACCCCTCCCCACCATGTACCCACCTTCCCCTGTACCCCCTGCCTCCACTGTCACCCACTCACCCCCCTCCCCCTCCCTTCCCCCGGGGGGCGGGGCGGGGCGGGGGAGAGGGGGCAGGCGCGAGACGCACCGTCTCCAGCACGAGGCGCCTCTGGGCGGGGGAGGGGGGAGCGGGCGCGTGCTCCCCGCGCTGTTGCGAGCTCGAGCCTCATTGGCCCGGCCGCGGCCCCCTCCCCGCCCTGTCTGAACGCAAAGCTTCGTGGGAGTTGTAGTCTTCCATGGACTCTGCGGGGGAGGGGGGGCTCAGGGGCTCTCTCCCGGCAGCCATTTTGCCAGCCCTGTGAAGTAGGGGGCGCCCCCGGGAGGGGCCCCCTTATAACCCTAGGGCCCCCCCACACACACCCCAGGGCCTGTTACTGCATCTGCCGCTCTGCCCCCTTTCCACGCAGAGACACCGTGAGGCGGGAGGGGCACAAAAAGCCAACTCACGCCAAGGGGGCAGCCCAAGATGGCCACCAGGCAGAGCCAGTTCGCTCCCCACCCAACATGGCTGCCAACAGCGTGGCCGCCCACAGCAGCCAACCCGCCAACATGGCCAAATTTGCTCCAGAGCCAACATCGCTGCCAACCTGGTTCCCCGCCCAACATGGTTGCCAATCAACACAGCCACACACAGCGGGTATGGCCAATTCATTCCCCACCCAACATGGCTGCCAACTGACATGGCTGCCCTGAGCAGCCAACTCGCTGGCATGGCCAATTTGCTCCCCAGTCAACATAGCCCATTCATTCCCTGCCCAAAACATGCTTCATTCAACCAACCCAATCTACTGGCACGGCCAATTTGTTCATAGAATCATAGAATATAAGGGTTGGAAGGGACCCCAGAAGGTCATCTGGTCCATCACCCACCATGGCCAATTCAATCCCCACCCAGCATGGTTGACAACCAACATGGCCTGAGTGGACAACCCATAGGCATGGCCAATTCACTCCTCACCCAACATGGCTACCAACCAACATGGCTTCCAGAAGCAGCCAACCTACCGGCATGGCCAACTTGCTCCCTGTCCAAGATGGATCTTGAGAGCCCAACCAAGCCCTCCAGTGCTGACAGAGGATGAAGTAAACCTAGACCAGTGGTTCTCAAACGTATGTACTGGTGACCCCTTTCACATAGCAAGCCTCAAAGTTCGACCCCCCCTTATAAATTAAAAACACTTTTTAATATATTTAACACCACTATAAATGCTGGAGGCAAAGCGGGCTTTGGGGTGGAGGCTGACAGCTCGCAACCCCCCATGTAATAACCTCATGACCCCCTGCAGGGTCCCAACCCTCCGTTTGAGAAACCCTGACCTAGACCATCCCTGCCAGGGCTTTGCCCAATGATGGGGATTCCACAACCTGCTTTGGGAGTTATTTCCACCACTTAGCTCCCATTTAAGTTAGAAAGATTTTCCTGATCTCTAGCCCCAATCTCCCTTGCTCCAGATGAGGCCCCTTACTTCTGCCGTCAGCAGACATGGAGACAAGGCCTATCCCAAACAGCCCTTCACAGATCTAAACCCTGTTATCAGGGCTCCCCCGTCCCAGTCTTCTGCTCTCCAAACTAAACATGCCCAGTTTCTAACCTAGCCAGGTACTTCGTATTTTGTACTTGTGCGTGTGAGTTTTCCATCCTAAGTGAAGTTCTTTGCACTTCTCTTCACCGACTCTCCCTTTGCAGAGCTCAGACAAAGGTGAAGTCGTCTTGAATTCGAATCCTGTCCTCCAGAGCACTGGCAAAATACCCCAGCCTGGTGTCACCTGCACGTTTTACAAGCCCGGCCTCCACTCCCTTCTCCAAGCCATTCATGACAGTGTTGAACAGGGCCAGGATCAGGACAGACCCCTGCAGGACCCCACTAGAGACGTCCTCCCAGTTTGGCAGCAAATCCTTGATAACTACACTTCGAGGCCAGTCTTTCCACCAGTTCTGCACATTGGGCCCACGTCTCTCAAGTTGGCTCCATTCTCTGCCCCAGGGGCCAAGGTCAAGGGCGTCCCAGAATGTGCTGTGCCCCGGCTTTTACAGGGTCCCTAAGATTTTCCCAAGAGCTGGCTGCATGTTTTCTCCCCATGTGTTCCCAAGTAGCAGACAGCGTCTGTACGGCCTGAAGCAACTGTCCCATTCGTCCAGCTTGGATCTCTCTGGTTCCAAGTCCCAGTGTATGTCACAAAGTTCCCACTCCGCTTCCCTGATGAAAGACTGGCTCTTCCCATCAGCCACGCTGAGTCCAGTCCAGGCTTTAGGGTCTGACCCAGACAGGTGGAACAGTGCTATCTGACTTTTCCTAAGGAGAGAGGCCCAGAGGCAGGGCTGATGGGGGCGGGTGGGCGGGGGGGGTGAGCAATGGGCTCAGGGGCTGCCCCAGAACGTCTGTAACAGGAGTGAAATGACAGGGTAAAGCTCCAACAAACATGATGTACCAGAGGCCCAAATTTCTCTCACTTCCCTGCCCAACACACTCCCCCTCTACTCTGCTGCCCCCACACCCAGCTCCAACCTCTCCCCCAGACAAGTGATCACCACCCCACCAATGGCCAGGCAGGTCTGGGAGCTTCAGATCCCCTCCTCCTCCCTTGCATCTCTGCTGCCCCGGGAAGCACCAAAAGTTCAGACCCTTCTGGTACTCCCTGGATCTGCCCCAGGGGTTGGGGGTGCCCACTGGAAAGACTGAAAAGGTGTGTGTGGTGGTGGTGGGGTGTTAAAGCAGGTGCATGGGGTTGCAGCACCCCTCAAATTTGGTCTGGCCACCCCCTGTCATTGGGCCAAATGGGAGAGGTGTCTAGGACAAATTTCCAGTTCCAGCCAGAGGCCAAGAGAGAGGTGTGTGTACGTGGGTGTCCCCTGCCTCCCCACATTGCATCCCTGCCTAGGTGATCTCCGTCCCAGCCGTATCTTGGTTTTCCCCTATCCCCAGAGAAGGACTCAACCCAGTGGGGAGTGATAGGAAGTGGGTGGAGATTGCCCATTCTTCCAACACTGGTATCCCACCTCATCCACCACGGTCATCCCTTTGTGGAATGGCAGCACGTATCTGGGGCCTTGCAGGCCCTGCAAAGGAGAAACCAGAACTGTGGGATAGTCTAAGTGTGACGTGTGTTATTGACCCAGACACACCAAGCCTGGGACAGAGGGGGTCAAACAGCATGGAGGGAGAGTCCTCTGGAATAGCCACCCTTGTAGCAGCACCCACTTCCCAGGGAGCAATTCTGCAGAGACCACCCGCCATCCCGACCTGTGCAAGACCCAAGCGAACAGACCCCGGAGAGCCCCAGAGAGGAAGACGCGGATTCTGTTATGATTCCAGATAGAACCATCTGTCGTCCATCATAATTTGCGTCATGGTAACACCTACCAACCCCATGCGAGATCCGGGACTCCAGTTGTGCCAGGCGCTGCACAGACCCCTCCAGACCGAGACATGGTCACTAAATCGGAAAACCAGGGGGAGGGGGAGTCCCCAGAAGGGGCCGAGAGATGATCTAGCCTGAGCCCCTCGCTGCAGGGTTTGCAACCCAGGGCAGCGCCGCACCGGAGCCCGGCAGGGCGGGGGCGGTCTCCGGCCGCAGAGAGGGAAAGCCGGACTCGAACCCGCGTCCCGAGCGCGGAGCCACCGATCGATCGATCGACGAGCCCGGCGTGCGATTGTTGATGGCGGCCTGGGTGGGGGATCGATGCTCTCCGCGCTCGGTTCCTGCCGCCCGCCCTGGCGCCCCCTGTCATGGCGGCGCCCAGGGAGGAGACACGTGGCCTGTTCAGCCAGGGGGTCCGGGCGGTGCTGGGCAGCTGGGCCGCGTTGCAGGTGAGAGCGGGGGGCGATGGGTGGGGGGCAGAGCGAGTCCCGGAGCTAGGGGGCGGCAAGGCAATGCCAGGCCAGGCTTGGCCTGGCCTCTCCTCCTATAGGAACACGCGGAAGGGGCAAGGCCACCTATAAATCCTCCCAGGCCCTATAGAATCACGCAGAAAGGGCCCGGCCCCCTTTTGCCCCCCTCTAGACCCTATAGAAACACGCAGAAAAGGCAAGCTCCCCCAGACCCTATAGAAACATGCAGAAAGGGCAAGCCCCCCCCCGACCCTATAGAAACACGCAGAAAGGGAAAGATCCCCCTATAGATTAATCTGTCCCTATAGAAACATAGAGCAATGGCAAGGTCACCATAGAAACACCACCAGGCTCTATAGAAAAATAGAGACACGGGAAGGTCCCCTATAGACACGCTTTCCAGACCCTCTAGAAACACAGAGAGATGGCATGGTCCCCTATAGAAACACAGAGGTCTCAAGGGCCCCTGTGGACCTCCCCCCCCCCCCCCCGTCCCTACAGAAACACACTGCAAAGGTGAGGTCCCCTATAGGAATTTTCCCTCCCTGTCTCTACAGGAACACAGCGGGGTGATGAGGTCCCCCATAGTCCCTGCCCCCAGGCCCACACAGCCCTCCCACAGAAACATGGCGAGGTAGCACGGTCCCGTCTAGAACAGCCGGCGTGCCGAAGCCGGGCGATCCCGCGCCCTGCCTGCCGCGTGGTTCGCAGGCCCAGGCCAAGGGGTAACGTCCGCACTTCTCTCCCCGGCGCAGGTCGCGGTGGAGCATGGCTTCGGCGGGGCACACGGCCGGGCAAAGGCCGAGTGGCTGGTGGGCGTGGTGGAGCAGTATTTCCACAGCAACGGTGAGACCCGCCAACACCGACGGGGCGTTCCCACCGGCAGCGCCTCAGGGCCCAGCTCCTCAAGCCCCCGAGATCGCAGGGGGTCTGTGCTACGCCTGCCGTGAATGGGACCCCAGTCTTGGTTGGTGGGGGTCTAGTGGGTTAGAGCAAAGGGAGCCAGGACTCCTGGGTTCTCCCCTCGGTTCTGCGAGGGGAATGGGGTCCAGTGGTCAGAGCAGGGGGCTGGGAGCCAGGACTCCTGGGTTCTCTCCCCGGCTCTGGGAGGGGAGTGGGGTCCAGTGGTCAGAGCAGGGGGCTAGGAGCCAGGACTCCTGGGAGGGAGCTGGGAGTCTTCCCCCAATCCCAGAATCCTTTTCCAGGCTAGGGAGTCCTGAAAGCCCCCTCCCGCCCCAGCTCTGAGTCTTCTCTCTGCAGTGGCCCTGGAGCTGGACGAGGTGGAGGATTTCCTCGCCGAGGTGCTGAACAACGAGTTTGACACCATCATTGAGGACGGCAGCTTGGCTGAGGTATCCCAGCCGCGTGTCCTAGCCCCCGTAGTGCTTGGCAGGAGGCGACTCCTCCTATCTCTCAACCCTGCCCCGGGGGACTGCGGGAGTGAGGGCAGAGCATGTGTGTGGGGGTGGGGTGGTCATCCTGGCCTGGGGGATTCTTGGAAGGAGGGGGGACACCCCCTGGCCTTTGATCCCATCTCTTCCCCCCACCCTCCCCGGCAGGTGAGCCAGCAGCTCCAGTTGCTCTTTGCCCGGTGCCAGTGTGGCGAGGGGCCGGCCCTGACGGAAGCCATCGCCCGGCTGGCGCGGAGGCAGCAGGAGGTGGGCAGGGCAGCCGCCCAGGCCCGACCCGCCGAGGGGAGCAGCAGTGAGGAGGAGGAGGAGGAGGAGAAGCCGGAGGAGGTACCAGCCGCGGGGCCCAGAGCAGGGGCCAGGAATCAGGGATGGGAGCCAGGATATGCAACTGGCTGAGCCCATGGGGCTGATCTTGGCGGGCGGTAGGGAGCTGGCTGGGCTCAATCTTGGGGGGGGGGGGCCTGCAGTTGGGAGGGATCCCAGCTCTGACTCCTTCACCCCATCCCTGCAGGTGATGGACTGCAGCAGCCCCGGGCCCCTCCCGGACCCTCCCCCGGCAGACGACGGCTGGACGGTCGTACGGAAGAAAAAGAAATGAGGGGTGCCCCCCCGGCCACGTGTGGCCTGGGGGGGGCTTCGCTGCAGGGAGCTGGGCAGGGGAAGAAACCAGGTGTAGCCACAATGTGTCGCTATGGCAACAGCTGGGGGGCATTAGTCCGGTGAGAGGGGCGCCCCCTAGAGGGGACAGGCCCCGCCCCCCATTCCCTGCACTGTGGCTGAAAACGAAACGACCCGAACAAAACAAAACCTTTATTAAGAAATCGGCTGATGGAGCTTTAACAACAATGCCCGGCTCCCACGAACTCTAGAAAATCCGGGTGCCCCCCCATCTCCTGGCGGGAGGGAGAGAGTTGGGGTGCCCCCGTGGATGGGAGGCTGCCCCCTAGTGGCCAGCCACTGCACGTCGGCAACAATAAAACGGCGGTCTGCGAAGCGAGCGTCTGTCCCTGGCGAGCGCCGCGTGAGCCGGCCTGTCGATCCCGCGGGGGGGCAGCTGGCAGCTGAACAAAGGGGGGGGTTAACAGCTAGGCCTGCCCTTGTGCAGGGAGGTGAGTTCAAAGTGCCTGAGGACAGTTCAAGTATCGTTTGCTGGGGGGGGTCGGGTCCAGTCCAGCCCCTCGGCCTCGGGGACGGGCCCGGGGGGGGCTGCCGGCTCCCCCCGCCCGGCCCGGCTCAGGGCTTCCATCCAGCGCCGCTGCAGCCCCTCCGACTCCGCACTGAACTGCCAGCAAAGCTGGCTCTGGCGGATGGCGAACGAGTGACGCCGCTCGAGCCGCACCCCCGCGTCCGGGGCCGTCACCTCGAAGCCGATCAGCGGGAGGCTGCGCTGGGCCTTCACGTCCTGGGGGGCCAGAGAGACGGGGTCAGGCGTGAAGGGCAGGGGCTGCCGGTCGGGAGTGGGGTCCCAGCAGGGCTGCAGGTCGGGAGTTGGGGGCACTGGCGGGGCAGGTCGGGAGTAGGAGGCCTGGCCAGGGTCAGGGGGCCCGGCAGGGGCTGCAGGTCGGGAGTCGGGGGCACTGGCGGGGCAGGTCCGGAGTAGGAGGCCTGGCCAGGGTTGGGGGGCCCGGCAGGGGCTGCAGGTCGGGAGTCGGGGGCACTGGCGGGGCAGGTCGGGAGTAGGAGGCCTGGCCAGGGTCGGGGGGCCTGGCAGGGGCTGCAGGTCGGGAGTCGGGGGCACTGGCGGGGCAGGTCGGGAGTAGGAGGCCTGGCCAGGGTCGGGGGGCCCGGCAGGGGCTGCAGGTCGGGAGTGGGGGGCACCGGCGGGGCAGGTCGGGAGTAGGAGGCCTGGCCAGGGTCGGGGGCCCGGCAGGGGCTGCAGGTCGGGAGTCGGGGGCACTGGCGGGGCAGGTCGGGAGTAGGGGCCTGGCAAGGGTCAGGGGCCCGGCAGGGGTGCAGGTCGGGAGTCGGGGGCACTGGCGGGGCAGGTCGGGAGTCGGGGGCACTGGCGGGGCAGGTCGGGAGTCGGGGGCACTGGCCAGGGTCGGGGGGCCCGGCAGGGGCTGCAGGTCGGGAGTCGGGGGCACTGGCGGGGCAGGTTGGGAGTAGGAGGCCTGGCCAGGGTCGGGGGGGCTGCAGGTCGGGAGTCGGGGGCACCGGCAGAGCAGGGGGTGCGGGGCTCGGCAGAGCAGGTGGAGGCCGTGGGGCGAGGCCTGGCGGGGCAGGAGTGGGGAGCCGTGGCCTGCCAGGGTTACGGGGTGGCAGTGGGGGGCCTGGCAGAGCTGCAGGGGCCAGCAGGGCAGAGCAGGTGGGGGCCGCGGGGGACCCTACCTGGGGGGCCCCATAGACGTACAGCACCAGGGGCTCGCTCTCCGGAACGACGAACCAGCCTTTGTGCCAGGCCTTGGCGCCCGGCTCCATGTAGTGCAGGGAGCTGCAGACAACGCTGCGCTCGGCCGCCTCCGACGCCTGCTTCTGTGGGGCAGAAATGCCCAGTAGTGCCCGGGGGCCCCACTGCGAGGGGGGACTCAGCAGGGCCCCGGGGGGGGAGCTGGGGGGTGCCAGGGGGCTCACCTCGGGGATGGAGCAGAAGCGTGGGGGGGTGGTTGAGGGGCCCTGGGGGGGCTCACCTCGAGGATGGAGCAGCGGCGTGGGGGGTGGCTGGAGTGCACCGGGGGGGCTCACCTCGAGGATAGAGCGGCGGGTCGGGGGGGGATCCTGGAGGGGGGGCTGGGGGAGTCACCTCGAGGATGGAGCGGCGGGTCGGGGGGGGATCCTGGAGGGGGGGCTGGGGGAGTCACCTTGAGGATGGAGCGGCGGCTCGGGGGGGGGATCCTGGAGGGGGGGCTGGGGGAGTCACCTCGAGGATAGAGCGGTGGGTCGGGGGGGATGCTGGGGGGGACTCACCTCGAGGATGGAGCGGCGACGCGGGGGGGGGCCGGGGGGCCCGGGGGGGCCGTGCAGCGCGGCAAAGCAGCCCCCACAGACCCGGTTGGGCCGGTTGTTGTCGTAAAGCAGCCGGGCCCGGAACTCGGAGCATTTCCCGCAGACCACCTGGGGGAGCCGGGGGGGGGGGAAGCATGAGACCAGGGGGGACCCCAAGACAGGCCCGGCCCAGCCAGGGGTCCTGGGCTCCCAGGGCCCCCTCCCGCAGCCCAGGCCCCCCCATCCCGTTCCCGCCCCAGCCCCCGGGACTCACGCGGCCGCAGGCCCGGCAGTGGTGTCGGCGTTTGGTGAGGGCGGCGAAGGGCTCCTGGCACTGCATGCAGAGCGTCACCTCGTTCTCCCGGATCGGCGTCGGCGCCCGGCGGCCCAGCTCCCGGCGGCCCAGCTCCCGGCCCTGCACGGGGACAGCCGCACGGGGCCTCGCACGGGCGCACACGGCTCCCGCCCTCGCCCCCTGGCCCTGCGCACGCACGTGCAAATCCTGCCCTCGCTCACGTGAATGTGGGTCCTGCCCTCGCATCCCCCGGTCCCACCCTCTCATGCACACCCCCAGTTCCCTCCCTCGCACTTGCACCCCTAGGTCCTGCCCACACTCAGCCATCCACGCATGGACACACGCGTGTGAGCTCACCAGCGATCCAGCCCAGGGCTCCTCCTCTTCCCGGGGGGCAGCTCCCACCGGAATCTGCTCCAGCTTCAGGATCGTGGCCCGAATCGCCTGGGGGGGGCAGAGGAATGAGAAGGGGAGGGAGGTGCCCCTCCCCCGGCAGCCTCCCTCCACCTGTGCCCCCCACAGCAGGCCCCACCATGGCCCAGGACCCTCTCCACTGATGGGGATGGGAAGGGCTGTGGGGGCAGGTGAGAGGTGACCCTGAGCTGAATCCCACCCCTCCACTCTGCCCCCCCCCCGAGACACCGCTCCCTGGATCCCCCCCCGTGCCAGGGGAAGGGGGACAGTCCCAAGGCCCCCCAGGTACCTGGATCCAGTCGCGTTTCTCTTCCTCCGTCCTAAAGGGCAGAAACAGGAACACGGAGGGGGGTGTTAATGGGGGGCGGGGTAGACGTGGGGGGAGGGGTACTGGGCGGTGAGTGGGGGGGGAATAACCAGGCTGTGGAGGGAGGCAGAGGGGACACCAGGCTGGGGGGGTTGGGGAAGGCAGGGGGGAGACTCAGGGGGAGACAAGGTGAGGGGGCAGTGGAGATATTGGGGGGCAGTGGGGACACCGGGGGGTCTCCCTACCTCGCCTGCAGCTCCAGCGAACGCTGCTTCCCTGACACCAGGAAGGTCCGGGGCAGGTTGACGCCACTCGACTCCTTCACCTGCGGGACAGAGACACTGGGAGGGGAGCGGCCGGGTCAGAAACCCCCCCACACCCCCTCGATCGGGGGAGCAGGATACCAGGGCAGAGGGGCCCAGGGTGGAATACCGGTGGAGGGGGGAGAAACTGAGGCACAGGGGCCTGGGCAAGGAGGGATACGAGGGGGGGGAAACGGGGCACAGGAGGATACCGGAGATGGGGGGGGACCAGGGCACAGGGGAGGGGGGATACCGGGGCAGGGGGTACGAGGGGTAGGGGGGATACCAGGGCGGGGAGGTTACCAGGGGAGGGGGGAGAGCAGGGCCGGGGTGTGTGTGGGGGAGGGGGATATAGTGGGAGGGGGATGGGGGCCAGGGAGGATAGCGGGGGAGGGTGAGGGGGGAGGATACTGAGGGGGGAATAGCGGGGTCCGCGCTCCCCACCCACCTCCATCCCCTCCACGTCGATCCGGGCCCGGACCCCGAATTTCTGGCCGAGGAGGCGCAGTTTGGGGACGCAGCAGAGCAGCCGGTCGTTGAACTGGGGAGAAGGGGGTCGAGAGGGGGTCAGAGGTCACCCACGCCCCCAACCCCCCAGGGCTCAGAGGTCACCCCCCCACCCCCAGGGGTCAGAGGTCACCCAACCAGTCCCTCCCTTTGTACAGAGGCCAGCCAGGGAGCCCCCCAGGGGTCAAAGGTCACCCAGCCAAGCCCGTGCCCTCATATGGGGGTCAGAGCCCCCCTCCCAGCCCCCGGCAGCCTGACCCAGGGGGTCTCTCACCAGGATCAGGTACCGGTCCTGTGTGGTCCCGTTCTTGGCCGACAGCTTGAGGATGTGGCCTTCCTTAATGAGCTCGTTAGTGGGGCTAACGATGTCCTCCTCCCCGCCCAGCAGCTCGTACACCTTCAGCAAGGAATGCATCCGTTCCTGGGGGCGAGAAGGGGGGTCGGTCCTGCCCCACAGTCCAGCAGCTGCCCTGCCCCCCCAGCCGGCTGCTTCTCAGGGCCAGGGGAGCCTCCCCGTGTGGTGTTGTGTGTGGCTGTTCCCAGCCGCCCCACCCCAGAGGTGGCTGCATCTGGCGAGCCATCCCCACGCGGCGTTGGGTGTGGTTGTTCCCCGCTGCCTGCCCCCAGAGGTGGCTGCATCTCGGTGGTGAGCGAGCGTCCCTGTGGCATCGCCCTACGCAGCCCCACCCTGCTCCCCGCAGCACAGCGCCCCCTAGCGCCCAGGCTGGGACTCGCACTCGGACCCCGGCGTACCATTTTGCGGATGGCGGCATTCGAATGCTCGGCTGCCGTCGCGATCAGCTGCAGGGACTCTGCGATCAGGGCGGAGAGACGGGGTGAGTCCAGGAGAGCCCCCCGCCCAGCCTGCCCCCCCAGATACCCAGAGCCCCCCGCCCAGCCTGTCCCCCCCGGATACCCAGAGCCCCCCGCCCAGCCCCCCCGCCCGGATACCCAGAGCCCCCCGCCCAGCCTGCCCCCCCCGGATACCCAGAGCCCCCCGCCCAGCCTGCCCCCCCAGATACCCAGAGCCCCCCGCCCAGCCTGCCCCCCCAGATACCCAGAGCCCCCCACCCAGCCCGCCCCCCCAGATACCCACAGAGCCCCGGGCGCCCCACTCACTCTCTGCATCCCGGCTGTCGGGGGCGCCGGGGGGCAGGCGCTGCAGGTAACCCTTCAGCAGCAGCTGGTACCGGGGGATCCTCTGGACGGGCTCCAGCATGTGCTGCTGCAGGGTGAGATTCCCGCAGGCCTCCTCCATCTGCAAAGGGGAGGGTGAGCCCGGACGCCTGGGTTCTCTCCCCGGCTCTGGGACGGGAGCGGGGGCTGGTGGTTAGAGCAGGGGGGGCTGGGAGCCCGGACACCTGGGTTCTCACCCACCAGCCCCCGTTCCCGTCCCAGAGCCGGGGAGAGAACCCAGGCGTCCGGGCTCCCAGCCCCCCTGCTCTAACCACCAGCCCCCGCTCCCGTCCCAGAGCCGGGGAGAGAACCCAGGCGTCCGGGCTCCCAGCCCCCCCTGCTCTAACCCACCAGCCCCCGTTCCCGTCCCAGAGCCGGGGATAGAGCAGGGGGGGCTGGGAGCCCGGACGCCTGGGTTCTCTCCCCGGCTCTGGGACGGGAGCGGGGGCTGGTGGTTAGAGCAGGGGGGGCTGGGAGCCCGGACGCCTGGGTTCTCTCCCCGGCTCTGGGACAGGAGCGGGGGCTGGTGGGTTAGAGCAGGGGGGGCTGGGAGCCCAGATGCCTGGGTTCTCTCCCCGGCTCTGGGACGGGAGCGGGGGCTGGTGGTTAGAGCAGGGGGGGCTGGGAGCCCGGACGCCTGGGTTCTCTCCCGGCTCTGGGACAGGAGCGGGGGCTGGTGGGTTAGAGCAGGGGGCTGGGAGCCGGGACTCCTGGGTTCTCTCCCCAGCTCTGGGAGGGGAGCAGGGGCTGGTGGTTAGAGCGGGGGCCAGGAGCCTGGGTTCCTCACCTGGATCTGGTGGACGATCAGCTTGAAGTGGGCGGATCGCTCCATCCAGGTGTTGACGAGCTCCATGGCCCGGTCAAAGTTCTTGACGTACTCCCCGTACATCTTGAGAAATGGAGCCAGCTTCTGCAGTATGTCCCCTATGCGGGGGTACCTGTCCCTGGGGAGGGCGGGGGGTGGGATCAGAGCTGGCGCCCCATGTCCCAGGCCCCGGAGCCAGCCCGTCCCCCATGCAGCGTTCTGTGCGGCGGTTCCCCAGCTGCCCCGCCCCAGAGGTGGCTGCATCTCGGCGACCTCTCACACACGCCCCCCCCCGGCCCACTGCTCGCTCACCATTCCTGCATGCGCTTCTCCAGCTCCGGCAGCAGGAACTGCTGATGGAAACAGTAGATGGAACAAATGTTGGAGAAAATCCCCATCACCACGTCGCCGGGGAAAGAGCTTCTGCTGCGGGCTTCCTCCAGGAGACGGGCACAGAACACCTGCGGGGGGGAACCAGTGAGCACTCCCGGGGCCGGGAGAGAACCCAGGCGTCCTGGCTCCCAGCCCCCCCAGTTCCTGGTACCTGATCCAGCAGGTGCAGCCGGGCGACGTAAGCCTTCTCTGTCTGCAGCAGCTCATTGGCGATGTGGAAGGTTTTTTGGGGGGCTGTGAGCTGGGGGTGCAGAGGGGGAGAGAGAGAGAGAGAGAGAGGTGTCAACCCCACACACTCAGCCCCGACCCCCAAGCCTCTGCCCCACCATATCCCCACCTCACACACACAGACCTGCCCTGCCCCACCCCCCAGTTCCCTCCCCTGGCAGTCAGGACTGGGTGCTGGAGGGCGCCATGGGGCAGGGACGCTCTCCCCTGGGAGTCAGGGCTGGGTGCTGGGTGTCGCCATGGGGTGCAGGGCTGCACAGGGGGTGCTCTCCCCTGGCAGTCAGGGCTGGGTACTGGGGGGCGCCGTGGGGCGGGGAGCAAGGCAGGGGGCTGGACAGGGAGCACTCTCCCCTAGCAGGCAGGGCCAGGCACTGGGGGGCGTCGTGGGGCAGGGGGCTGGGCAGGGGGCGCTCTCCTCTGGCGGTCAGGGTTGGGTACTGGGGGGCACCGTGGGGCAGGGAGCGGGGCGGGGAGCGCTCTCCCCTAGCAGGCAGGGCCAGGCGCAGGGGGGGCACCGTGGGGCAGGGGGTCGGCAGCTCTCATCGATCTCACCTCCGGCGCGTTCGGTCTCTCGGCCTGGGGGGGCACCGTGCCTGGCGCCGGCCCCCCGTCGTCCCCACTCCCCTCGTCCAGGTCGCTGTCCACCTCGGAGTCTGGGCAGGGGGGGGACCCCGGGCTGCCCCCCCCGTCGCCCTCCCCCACGGGCCCCTCGTCCCCCCCAAAGCCCAGCTCCTCGCTGGGGGACGGGGAGCTGATGCTGTCGAAGCCACTGTCCCGGTTGGCCAGTTTCCCGCTGGGGGCCGGGGGGGGCAGGCAGGGGGCCTGGTCCCCCTGCCCGGCTGGCCCTGAGTCCTCCCCCGCCGGCAGACCCAGGAGAGCCAGCGACTTGGGGGTTACATCGGCCTCCCCAGGGCTCGGGGGGTCCGAGCTGGGGGTGGGGGACGGCTGCTCCAGGGTCAGGATTACAGGGTCCCTGCAGGAGGAAGGGAAACGGAGTCAGGACTCCTGGGTTCTCCGGGAGGGGAGCGGGGTCTGGTGGGTTAGAGCGGGGGTGGGGGGAGCCCGGACTCCTGGGTTCTCTGGGAGGGGCGCACTCACCTCTCAAACTTCTCGATGAGGGTCAAGACGTCTGTGGAGACAGCTCCATCCTGAGCCTCGGGGTGCAGCGTCGGGGGGCTCCGGGGGCCCAGGCGGGGGTTGGCTGGGAGGGGGCGTGAGGGGGGCGGGGGGATGGGGGCCGGGGGCCACGGGGGATGGGTGCTCTGGAGATGACCTGGTTTGGGAGGGACTGGAAAAGGAAAGGGAGGAAAGGGTTAATGTGATCCCCGCCCAGCACCAAGCCCCCCCAGCACCTCCCTCAGCGCCCCACCCCCAATGCCCCTCCAGCACCCGGCCCCTCCCCCAGCGCCCCACCCCCAATGCCACCCCAGCACCCGGCCTCTCCCCCAGCGCCCCACCCCCAATGCCACCCCAGCACCCAGCCTCTCCCCCAGCGCCCGGCCCCTCCCCCAGCGCCCCACCCCCAATGCCCCCCAACACCCGGCCCCTCCCCCAGCACCCCACCCCCAATGCCCCTCCAGCGCCCCACCCCCAATGCCCCCCCAGCACCCGGCCCCTCCCCCAGCGCCCCACCCCCAATGCCCCCCCAGCACCCCACCCCCAATGCCCCTCCAGCACCCGGCCCCTCCCCCAGCGCCCCACCCCCAATGCCACCCCAGCACCCGGCCTCTCCCCCAGCGCCCCACCCCCAATGCCCCCCCAGCACCCGGCCCCTCCCCCAGCGCCCCCACCCCCAATGCCCCCCAACACCCGGCCCCTCCCCCAGTGCCCCCCCAGCACCCCACCCCCAATGCCCCTCCAGCACCCGGCCCCTCCCCCAGCGCCCCACCCCCAATGCCACCCCAGCACCCGGCCTCTCCCCCAGCGCCCCACCCCCAATGCCACCCCAGCACCCGGCCCCTCCCTCAGCGCCCCACCCCCAATGCCACCCCAGCACCCGGCCCCTCCCTCAGCGCCCCCACCCCCAATGCCCCCCCAGCACCCGGCCCCTCCCCCAGCGCCCCACCCCCAATGCCCCCAGCACCCCCCCTCCCCCCAGCGCCCCACCCCCAATGCCACCCCAGCACCCGGCCTCTTCCCCAGCGCCCCACCCCCAATGTCCCCCCAGCACCCGGCCCCTCCCCCAGCGCCCCACCCCCAATGTCCCCCCAGCACCCCACCCCCAATGCCCCTCCAGCACCCGGCCCCTCCCCCAGCGCCCCCACCTCCAATGTCCCCCCAACACCCGGCCCCTCCCCCCAGCGCCCCCACTCCCAATGCCCCTCCAGCACCCGGCCCCTCCCCCAGCGCCCCCCCAGCACCCCACCCCCAATGCCCCTCCAGCACCCGGCCCCTCCCCCAGCGCCCCACCCCCCAATGCCACCCCAGCGCCCGGCCCCTCCCCCCAGCGCCCCCACCCCCAATGCCCCCCCAGCGCCCGGCCCCTCCCCCCAGCGCCCCACCCCCAATGCCCCCCCAGCGCCCGGCCCCTCCCCCCAGCGCCCCACCCCCAATGTCCCCCCAGCGCCCGGCCCCTCCCCCAGCGCCCCACCCCCAATGCCCCCCCAGCGCCCGGCCCCCTCCCCCCCCAGCGCCCCACCCCCAATGTCCCCCCAGCGCCCGGCCCCTCCCCCAGTGCCCCCCAGCGCCCCACCCCCAATGTCCCCCCAACACCCGGCCCCTCCCCCAGTGCCCCCACACCCCACCCCCAATCCCCTCCAACCCGCCCCTCCCCCAGCGCCCCACCCCCAATGTCCCCCCAGCGCCCGGCCCCTCCCCCAGCGCCCCACCCCCAATGTCCCCCCAGCGCCCGGCCCCTCCCCCAGTGCCCCCCCAGCGCCCCACCCCCAATGCCCCCCCAGCAGCTCCTGCTGGCAGAGGCTGGGGCTGGAGCAGCCAGTTCCCCCGCCCGCCCTGCCCCGCCCCGCCCTGTGGGACTCACCCTGTGGTTTGGGGCCCAGGGCCCTCCTGGGCAGGGCGGGGTGGGGCTCCCCCCCGTCGCTGTGGGGCCCGGGGTCTGAGCGGAGGCGCTGGGCGCTCTCCGGACGCCAGGGTTCGCTTCGCGGTTCCAGGGACAGACTCTTCACCAGCAGCCGGGAGCCCTGGCCCGGGGGGCCTGGAAGGGAGAAGGGGGGTGGCGGGGTTGAAGGGGGTTGGAGGGTCATTGTGCCCCCCCAACCCTACCCACAAGTTTGCCCTGCCCATCCCCCACCAGTGCCCCCTCCCTGCAATTCCTCCTCCGCAGCCCCCTCATGGCCCCTCCTTAGCAGGGTCCCCCCATAGGTTCAAACCCCCACCCCGCCAGCTGCTGTCTGCGCCTGTCGGGGGGGGGGGGCAGAGAGCAGTGGGAGCTCCCCTCCCCCCCCACAGTGCACCCTCGTCTGGGGGGTCAAAGGAGCAAACGGCTGAGCTTGGAGGAAGGGTGGAACAGGGGACCCAGGCATCCAGGCTCCCAGCCCGCTCCAGCCCTGCACTCTAACCCACCAGACCCCGCTCCCCTTCCAGATCTGGGAGAGAACCCAGGAGTCCTGACTCCCAGCCCTGCCCCCCCACTCTCACCACTACACCTCACCCTCATTCCAGAGCCGGGGAGAGAACCCAGGAGTCCTGACTCCCAGCCCTGCCCCCCCACTCTCAACACTACACCTCACCCCCATTCCAGAGCCGGGGAGAGAACCCAGGAGTCCTGACTCCCAGCCCTGCCCCCCCACTCTCACCACTACACCGCACCCCCATTCCAGAGCTGGGGAGAGAACCCAGGCGTCCTGGCTCCTGGCCCCCCCCAGGACCACTCACCCCCACTGCTCTCAGCTCTGGACCTGTGGGGACCAGGGCAGGAAGGGGGAAGTCGGGGGGGGGGACACGACAAGGGGGGGGGTGGGGCTGGGATCCCAGATCTTAGCAACGGCCCTGCCCAGGAGATATGAACAGACGGGATCCCGCAGGCCCGGAGAGGAGCTTAAGGTGGAGGGAACCGGGTGCAGGGGCGCCGGCTCTGATCCAGCCCTGGGGGGGGGCTGGCTGGCTTAGGGGGGCGGGGAATGGGACATGGGGCCTGTCCCCTCTAGGGGGAGCTGGCTCCCACCACGCCCCAGGGCGCGGACTGGCTGGGTCCGATTCTGGGCTTCCCCTGTAACCACATGTATCTGTGCCTCAGTTTCCTTTCTCTATTCAGGCTGGCATGTAAGGAACCGTCTCTCACTGCCGGTGCCCCTCACTCCCGACTCGCAGCCCCTACCAGCCCAGCCCTGCCCCGCCGGTGCCCCTCACTCCCGACCCGCAGCCCTACCTGGTATCCCGATGCCACCTTAACTCCACCAGGTGCTGGCTGTGATTTCACCCACCTGGCTGCCTAGTAAGAACCTTGTCAGCCTTGGCACCGCCCCACCTGCCTCTGCCTGAGGGTGTGGGGGAGAGACAGGGCTCAGAGAACCACCCAGCCCCCGCCAGTGCCCCTCACTCCCGACCCGCAGCCCCCTGCCAGCCCAGCCCCCCAGCCCCGCCAGTGCCCCTCACTCCCGACCCGCAGCCCCCTGCCAGCCCAGCCCCCCAGTGCCCCTCACTCCCGACCCGCAGCCCCCCCAAGTTTAGCTGCTCCCTGTGCAGCAGCGACTTCAGAGGGTTAATGAACATCAGCAGCCAGAAGGCGGGGGGGGGGGGGTGCAGAAGGTTGGGGCAGGGTCTGATGCCCTGGGGATGGGCCCCTGGGGGGGAGGGGTCAGGGGGTCAGCAGGACGGGAGAGATGCCTGTCGAGATTGCTCAGGACTGGGGGGAGCCGGGAGATGCAGGGGGTTGTGGGTAATATGCAAATATCACCACTGCAGCCTAAACCACAAATCTGAGCCCTTCCATCTCAGCCCCTCCCCCAGCTGAACCCAGGAGTCCTGGCTCCCCCTCCCCTCCCAGAGCAAGGGGGAAGAACCCAGGAGTCCTGGCTCCCACCCCACCCCCCTGCTACTAACCACTAGGCCCCACTCCCCTCTTGGGGACTGGGGGGAAGAGAACCCAGAAGTCCTGACCAGCCTTCCTCTGGACAATCACGGGGTCTCTCGCATCCCAAATCAGCTGAGCCCTTTGGGAACAATAACACTGTGGTTGTTTTGTTTTGCTGGAAATGTGTCGCAAGAGGAGGGTACCGCAGACAGACCGACCCTGAGCCAGGCTCGTTCCCTCCCGCTGGGTCCGCACGGAGGGACCGACACACACGCAGACGCCCCCCCCCGTGAGTCTTTGTTCCAGACCTGGTAAACCCGCGCTTAGGCCAGTCCTCTCATCCCTCCGTGACTCAGTTTCCCCTTCCACCTCTGTTTTTGGGGCAGGAATTGTCTCCTGCTCACTGTTGGGGCCTGATGGGATGGGCCCTGATCAGTCAGGGCGATTTGTACGGCATCTGGCAGGACAGGGGGTTGATCTCAGTCAAGGGGGGTGGGGAGGCTGGGAGCCAGGACTCCTGGGCTCTCTCCCCGGCTCTGGGAGGGGAGGGGAGGGGAGGGGGGGTCACAGAGCCAGGGTCTCAGACCAGGGGCTGCCCTCCCAGCCCCCTGTGCCCTGGGACCCTTCCACCCCCAGCCGTCCAGGGCAAGGAGCCGCTCTCACCCCATGCGCCCAGAGGCAGGACTGGCTGGGTGGGGGCAGGGCCAAGTCCAGGGGAAGAGACAAATCTCGAAAACCCGGGGGGCGAACGTCACCTGTCACCAAAAACTGCAGCAGAAGGGACCTGAGTTTGGCATTGTCCCGGGTGCCCCTGCTCTAACCACTAGACCCCATTCCCCGCACAGAGCCAGGGAGAGAACCCAGGAGTCCTGGCTCCCAGCCCCCCCCCGCTCTAACCACTAGACCCCATTCCCCGCACAGAGCCAGGGAGAGAACCCAGGAGTCTGGGCTTCCAATCCCCTCTCCCACTTGACAAAGAAATCACCCCCACACAGGTGTCCCCCCCGCCAGATTTCACAGCCCCCCTTACCGGCTCGGTGCCCGCCAGCCCCGCTCTCCAGGTGATAGGAGAACCGCATGGCCTTGCACTGCTGGGAGAAGGATCCGGCTCGGTCCAGGCTGGGGATCCCGACCATACTGGCCCTCTGCATGTCTGCACCCCTCCCTCCGGGGCTCAATCCCCCCCCAGCTCCGGTCCCAGGCCCCCCCGAGCCCCGGGGATCTCGGGCCACATCCTCAGCCAGGGGTGTCCGATCCCAACCCGAAGGCTGGCAAGAGAGCAGAGGGTGGGTCTCCTTCGCCGGGGGGGCGCGGGCGCCTGCTCCCCCGTCAGCGTGGGGCTGGAGGCATGGGGAAGGGAGGGGGTCTGTTTTCTCCAAGGCTGGGATGGGGGGGGGGCTGGCTCACTTGGGCCCCACGCGCCGCTGGCTTGCTGCAAAATCCGCTACCCCCTTCTCCGCCCACGAACCCGGAGCGAGGACAGGGGGAAAACACCCAGCCCACGTGGGATTTCCATCCACGCAGGCTCGGCCACGCAGCAAGGCCTCGGACGGCCCTCGGCAAAAAAGTCCAGGGGTTCCTCCGGGCAAGGGGTCCGCTCTGCAGCCGTGGCAAAAGGCAGCCACTTCCCCAGCTCTGGCCTTGCCAAACCCCGACCTCTTCGCTCCCGGGAGGTTTTCCTCGGTTGCCAAGCGCTGCTTTCGCGTGGGCCGTGCTGGAAACCGTCCCCAGCCAGATGCAATGTCCGAGTCGTCTTTAGTCAATCCCCCAACTCCCCACGAGGGTCTCGCTCATTGCCCCGGGGAGCGAGTTCTTCTCCCCCGCCACAGCGCGTGGGGCTGCCGATTCCTGGCTCGGAAATTCTCCCTCAGCCGCGAGGTCCCAGCTCTGCTCCTTCGAGGTTTCACATCAGTTGTACCCACCCATCTCCTCCAGGGAGGGTTCGCTCATTGGGAGCCCAGCTTCACGGCTTTTTGTAGTCAGGTTCGGATTTATTTCCCGCTGCTTGGAAGGAAGATCCAAACCGGCTGGCAACTCCCAATTCTGGCTTCGGACATTTAAAATCAGTTGTAAACTCCCGTTTTCAGCTTTGAGCGCTTCCAGCCAGCTGCGAACGCCGATTTCTGGTGTCCTACGTTTCAAACCAGTTGTGATTTCTTGCCTTGTGAGGCCCTTCTGCCGGGCTGTAAACTCCCAAGTCTCGCTTCGCCAATTACAAACTAGTGGCAACCGCGGACGGCTCGGGTTCAGACCACTTGTCAACTGGGATTTCTTGGGTTCAAACCCGTTGTAAACTCCGATTCCTCGTTTCCTAAGTTCCAGACCAGTTGTAAATTCCAATTTGCTGGTTTCAAACCAGATGTCAGCTCGTGTTTCTAGCTGCGTAAGCTCCAAGCCAGCGCCAGCTTCGAGTCCTTGTGGAGCAGAGCCGGCGTTCCCGAGGGGTTACTGCCAAACAAAAGAGCCAACTTGGATGTTCACTGCCTTTCTTCGAAATCAGGCTGGCTGGCTATTTTAAGCAGGGAAATCCACCTCTGGGAGGCCAGGGATTTTTCTCCCAAGGAGAGGGGGGGAAACCTCTGAAATCTGCTGCTAAATCCAGCCCACGGCTTCTTTCCCTGCTTGCACATGGTAGGGGGGGGAAATTCCTCCTGCTCTGGGATAATATGCTTCAAACCACAGCAGATGGGAACAATGGGGGGAGGATTTAAAGGCGCAGAGCCAGGCGCTGGAAAGGAACCACACGCGGCGGGGAACGCCCATTGATTACAGACATGCCAGACTTGTCTTCGCCATGGCTCGGGCCTGGCGGGCCCCGTCAAAGGCTTCCCGGCCCCGAGTCGCCAGCTGCCGGAGCATTGCTGGCTCACCCGCCTGGCCTGTTATACGGAGGGGAGGGGATTGGAGTGAGCGGGAGCTGGGGAGAGAACCCAGGAGTCCTGGCTCCCAGCCCCCTCTGCTCTAACCACTAGCCCCCACTCCCCTCCCACAGCTGGGGAGAGAACCCAGGAGCCCTGTGACTCAGCAGAGGGGCTGGTGCTAACAAGAGGAGCCGTTTCTCTTGCAGTTAAAGGGAAGCGGGAGCTGCCTGGATCGGGGCCTTTGAATGAAATCCCAGCTGGGCTCTGGAATCCCGGTTATTTCCTGAACTCCTGGAGGTGCTTCAACCCCCGGCTGCCGGCTCAGCCCCAGCGCCATGCGACCGACCAGCCATCCCAGCGCCAGGGAGAGAACCCAGGAGTCCTGGCTCCCAGCCCCCTGCTCTAACCACTAGATAACAGCGTCTACACAAAGTGGGCCAACCCCGTCTGTGTACAAACAGCCCTTTAGTGCGTTTGCCTGATGCCCTGGGCCTGGGGCCAAGAGCTGTTCCCTGCGGGTGAGGGATCGCAGCTCCTGAGACAAGTACAGTCCAGCAGCGGGATCACCCTGTTTCCCCCTGCCAACCATCTACTGTTAACTCACGGGTGGCTGTGGCGGGACAGCTCCCCCGACCACCTCTGGGGTGGAGCGGCTGGGGAATGGCCACACATAACGCCGCAAGGGGACAACTCACCTGGTGCTGAAATGCAGCCACCTCCGGAGCGGGGCAGATGGTGAACAGCCACACATAACAGCATGGGGAGGGCTCACCCGATGCAGCCACCTCTGGGACGGGGTATCTGGGGAACGGCCACACTTAACGCCGCATGGGCACAGCTCACCTGGTGCTGAGATGCAGTCAGCTCTGAAAAGACTGCTAGGAGGATGGGGAAAGGGGGGCTGGTGGGTTAGAGCAGGGGTTTCTGGGCTCTAGGACTCCTGGGTTCTCTCCCAGGCTGGGGGAGGGGAGTGAGGTCTAGTGAGTTGCATCCCGCACATTTTGCAACTTGGGATCTTTATATCTGGGAGCAACAGCCCCGCATGGCCGCAATTTGGCAACAAGGCCGCAGACCGGAGATTTATTTCCTCTGAACAATGTCTGTGACCGTAGCACACGTTTGCAACCAACGCAGGCACCCAGCCTCTTCGCCTCTGGGTGCTCGCCACCCGGCCTGCATGCGCGCTGGGTCTGCAATTGGGGGGCTTGGTTGGCAGGCAATGGGCCTCTGCAAGGCATGCAGGCCTGGGGATGGAGCCATTTCGATGCATGCATGCAGATTTGCAAGGGATGCGCGGCCCCCCCCTGCAGATTTGCAAGGGATGCGCGGCCCCCCCCTGCAGATTTGCAAGGGATGCGCGGCCCCCCCCTGCAGATTTGCAAGGGAGGCCCCCCCTGCAGATTTGCAAGGGATGCGCGGCCCCCCCCCTGCAGATTTGCAAGCCTGGCAGCTTGGTTTCCTGGCAATGTGCGGGCTGCAGAGTTGCAAGCCCAGGCCCCGCAGGACTCTCCAAGCCCGCCTGAAGATTTGCACCATTTCATCCCATGCAACCGTCACCCCCGCACCCCGGCTTCCAGCTGCGCCCCCCCCAGGCCCCCCCCCGCCTTTGCAGCTGGAAATCGCAGCCACCTTTTGCAAAGCTCAGAGTCAGCAACGACACGGGGGCGGGCGGGAGCTCCCGCCTTGGGGACGCGCCTGTGCACGAGGCCCCGCCCACCGCGCGCGCACTCGAGGGGGAACAGGAAGTGCCCCTGTGTCGGGAGCGCGCCACGTGGGTTCCAGCTGGTGCCCTGGAAGTGAAACTGCGACAGCCAGGTAGGGAGGCGGGGGTGCAGGGGAGGGGCTGGATCTGGGAGGAGGGGGTGCAGGGGGGAGGGGCTGGAGGAGGGGTGCAGGGGGGAGGGGCTGGATCTGGGGGGAGAGGGTGCAGAGGGGGAGGGGTTGGATCTGGGGTGCAGGGGGGGCTGGATCTGGGGGGGGGGTGGGGGGGAGGGGTTGGATCTGGGGTGCAGTGGGGGGGCTAGATCTGGGGGGAGCGGGTGCAGAGGGGGAGGGGCTGGATCTGGGGTGCAGGGGGGAAGGGGCTGGATCTGGGGGGAGGGGGTGCAGAGGGGGAGGGGTTGGATCTGGGGGGGGGGTGGATCTGGGGGGAGGGGGTGCAGAGGGGGAGGGGCTGGATCTGGGGTGCAGAGGGGGAGGGGCTGGATCTGGGGGGAGGGGTGTAGAGGGGTCTTAGAGCTATGGGGCGGCGGGAGGCTCTCTGGGGAGGGGGCTGCAGAGGGCGAGAGGGGAGGCTGGGTCTCTGGGGAGAGGCAGGGATCCCCACCCTGTCCGTGTCTGGGATTTCATCAGATCTCCTCCCCACCCCACACACACACCCCGATGCTGTGTGGTGGATCCGGAGGTCACAGAGCTGGCGAGAGAACCCAGGCATCCTGGCTCCCAGCCCCCCCGGCTCTAACGACTAGACCCCCTCCCCACCCCCAGAGCTGCTCTCCAGGTCCCTGTATAACCGTAATTTCTTCCCAGGTGCTGCTCAGTGGAGACGACCCTGCGACCTGCTTTGGAGCCATGACCCGGCCCAGTAAGTCCCTAGTGCCGGCGCCCCCTGGACCGGCCTCCAGCCCCAGCCCCCCAAAATATAACATCCCCTTAACTCTGTCCCCTTCTCCACAGAACACGCAACAGCTGCAAGGAAACACCCATGCAAGGTGAGCCCCAGGATGCCTGGGTTCCCTCTCCAGCTCTGGGAGGGGAGTGGGGTCTGGTGGGTTAGAGCCAGGGGGGGCTGGAAGCCAGGACTCCTGGGTTCTCAATGGGGGGGGGGGGGCAAGTTGCTGCCTGCTGTGAGGTTATTAACAGGATCTCTCTTTTACACAGAGGAAGGAAGCAAAGACTCATGGGAAAAAGGACCCAGGAGTGCCTCACCTGTTGGGTTTCAAGGAGTATGCGAAGAAGGAAGCCAAATTAAAGCAGAAAAGGGTAGGGATGGGGGGAGCCTGGACTCCTGGCTTCTCTCCCCAGCTCTGGGAGGGGAGTGGGGTCTATTGGGTTAGAGCCGGGAGGCTGGGAGCCCGGACGCCTGGGTTCTCTCCCCGGCTCTGGGGGTCTGAAGCCTGGCTGTGTCTCCAGGTGGCGGAGCTGAGGGCGCGGCAGGAGGAGGCCCGGCTCAAGGAGACCAGCCAGCGCCGCAGCCTGGAGTCCCTGCAGCAGGACGCCCTCCGCAAGCAGCGGGATTTCGAGCAGAAGGTAACATGGCCCCGAACCTCACAGCCCCTCGGCCCCCAGACCGGCCTCCTGGGTTCTCTCCCATTTGGGAGAGGGGAGCAGGGTCCAGTGGTTAGAGCAGGAGGGGCTAGGAGCCAGGACTCCTGGGTTCTCTCCCCAGCTCTGGGAGGGGAGTGGGGTGTAGTGGCTCAGAGCAGTGGGGCTAGGAACCAGGACTCCTGGGTTCTCTCTCCCCCCCCACACTGTTTCGTCTCCTCTCTCGGCAGGAGACCGGGCTGCAGCAGCTGCAGGGGCACCCGCGACTGGAGAAGGAGGGGTCCCGCAGGGCCTACTACCGGGAGTTCAGGAAGGTCAGTGTGAGCCACATGGAGGGGAAGCCTCCATATCCCCCCTCCCTGGCGCTCAGTGGGGCCGGACTGCGGAGGGGAGACTATGATTCTCCCCTTTCACCAGCGCTCAGTGGGGCCGGGCCAGGCCAGGCCACAGAGGGGACACCCTACTCACCCCCTCTCCTGCTCCCCACAGGTGATCCAGGCAGCTGACGTGGTCCTCGAGGTGCTGGATGCCCGAGACCCCCAGGGCTGTCGCTGCCCCCAGGTGGAGGAGGCCGTGCTGCAGGCCGGGGGCAACAAGAAACTGGTGCTGGTGTTAAATAAAATCGGTGGGTGTGTGGCGGGGGGAACCTGGACTCCTGGGTTCTCTCCCTGGCTCTGGGAGGGAAGTGGGGGCTAGTGGTTAGAACATGGGGCAGGGGGCTGGGCCCCAGTATTCCTGGGTTCTATCTTTAGCTGTGGGAGGGGAATGGGGCCTAGTGGTAGGAGCCAGGACTCCTGGGTTTTCTCCCCAGCTCTGGGATGGGAGTGGGGGCTGGTGGTTAGAGTATGGGGGGGTGGGAGCCAGGGATCCTGGGTTCTCTGCTGTCTCTGGGGCAAGTCCTGTGGTGCCTCAGTTTCCCTCCCTGGGGTGCGAGCTGGGGCTCCTAAGGGAGGAGGAGCCGTAATAGCTGGGTGGGGGGAAGCAGGCAACGCTGGGTTAACCCTTTGTGCTTTGCGCTCCCCAGACCTGGTGTCCAAGGAGGTGGTGGCCGGGTGGCTGAAGTACCTGAGGAACGAACTCCCCACAGTGGCCTTCAAAGCCTCCACCCAGCAGCAGAGCCGGCACCTGGTGAGGGGTTGGGGCCTGGGACTTTTCCGGACTCTTGGCTTCTGGGAGGGGAGTGGGGGCTAGTTGTTAGAGCCGGGGGGGAGGGGCTGGGAGCCAGGACTCCTGGGTTCTCTCCCTGGCTCCGGGAGAGGAGTAGGGCCAGAGGGGATGTAGCTGTGTGAGCCCTGTCCTGACCTGTCTGCTGCTCTCTGCTCCCCAGCAACAGAGCAAGGTGCCCGTGGCCAAGGCCTCCTGCGAGCTGCTGGCCAGTGGGGCGTGCGTGGGGGCCGACTGCCTGCTGAAGGTGCTGGCCAACTACAGCCGTAGCCAGGACCTCAAGACGGCCATCAGCGTGGGGGTCGTAGGTGAGAGACTCAGGCCCTTCGCTGTGGGGGGCCAGGACTCCTGGGTTCTCTGGGAGGGGAGTGGGGGCTGGTGGTTAGAGCCGGGGGTCCCGGCTGCCTGGGTTCTCTCTCTGACTCGTGTCCCTGTTGCTCTTGGTCCAGGCTTTCCCAATGTCGGCAAAAGCAGCCTGATTAACAGCCTGAAGCGGAGCCGGGCCTGCAGCGTGGGCGCCACGCCCGGCGTGACCAAGTAAGCCCTCCTGCCCCACGGCGGGGGTGGGGGTCCGGGCCCCCGCGGGACAGCCCCGCTCCCCCGCTGATGCCCCCTTTCTCCCCCGCCCAGGTGCCTCCAGGAGGTCCAGCTCGACCGGCACGTCAAGCTCCTGGACTGTCCCGGCCTCGTCATGGCGACCGCGGCCACGGACGCCGGCCTGGTGCTGCGCAGCTGCCTCAAGGTGGAGCAGGTGGCCGACCCGGTGACGCCCGTCCACGCCATCTTGAGACGGTGCTCCCAGGGCCAGGTAGGGGAGGAGGGCGGTTGCTAGGGGGACGGTTGGGGGAGCGCTCAATGGGGCGATGCCACAAACCGTGGGGCCAGCGCCGTCCACCAAGAGACAGGCCCCAAGAAGCACCTGCCCTGAACTCACCCGCCCAGGACCCAAAGGACCCATTCAGCATTCTCGAGCCTCCAGGACTCCCGCTTTCCTGCCACAGCGGACAATGGGGCTCCCAGCGCCCCGTCTTCTCCCCACAGTCCCTGTGCCCCCTCCAGCTCTTTCGGGAGCAATGTGGAGAAGTAGCGCTGGTCTTTGAAGACCAAGGGAAATTGAGTATTCACCTGGAGCAGGTGGAGAGTCCTTGGGGTGATGGGAGAGGCCGTATGGGGGAGAGTAGAGGTCCCTGCAATTCTGTCTCCCCGTTGGCGCTGGGGGTCTGTTCTCACCTCCTTCCTCGATAACGCGCTCCTCATGTGGTCAGCTTCCCAAACAGTTGAGTGTTAATGGCCAGGTTGTTGGCTCTTCCATTGGCCGCAGGGTCTTCCGTTGGTCAACGCAAGATCGTCCATTGGTCATTGGGTCTTCCATTGTCAATGCAGGCTCTTTCCTTGGTCGTTGGCTCCTCCATTGTCAACTCCAGCTTCTCCGTTCTTATGTGTAGATTCCAGCCAGTTCTTAACATGTCTGGTTCCAACCCAGACTCCTCAGACTCGAACCCCAGCCCCTCTTTTCCTTGTCCCAGGAAGGAAACTAACACTTTCTTCCCAGTGGACGGAAGTACCTATCCCAGGAAGAGATTTCTGATGGACAACTTTCAGCCAGACAGCCTGCTGCCATTTTCCGACCAAGAACGTCGATTAGACAAGATCAGAATGTTTCACGCACTCATGTGGATTTCACTCAGTTTGTCAAACTCAGTTACTGAGGTTTCCCTTTTATAAATCATAGTATGCATGATACAACCCTCTGACTTGCTAGCCAGCGAAATGAAACGATGAACAGAAACTCCGGAGGAAGGGCTCATTAGAAGAAGACCATATCAGGTTAATAGACATCACTGTGATCCTCCAATCTGACCCCTCCATATAACACAGGCCAGAAAACTTCCCCAAACTAATTCGTAGAGCAGAGCTTCTTGGAGAACCTCTCGGCTTGATAGAGAAACTGCCAGCAACGGAGAACCCGCCCCGCTGCTTGGAAAGTTGTTCCTTACTCTCACCGTTAAGAATTAACGCCTCGTTTCTGCTCTGAATTTGTCCAGTTTCAGCTTCCAGCCTGTGGATCGTGTTAGACCAGATTGAATAGCTCATTATTAGCTCTTTGTGCCCCACATGGGTACCGACAGACTCGGGTCAAGTCACCCCTTAACTGTCTCTCTGTTAAGCGAAATAGACCGAGCTCCTCGAGTTTCTCACTCCCAGGCCGGTTTTCTAACCCTTGGGTTTTTCTCGTGGCTCTTTTCTGACTCGTCTCCAATTGAGCGACAGCCGTCAAGTCTGTGAATGCAGAAGGATCCAGCAGTGGCTGGGTCGGGGCCCCAGCGTGGGGGTGGCCCGTGGGAAGGCGGAGAGGAGATGCGACCGCGGTTGGACGGGGAAGCGAAGAGGGAGGAGAGGGAAGGTTGAGGGGAACCGGGAGCAGTTTGATGGGCTTGTCTGGCTGCTCCCCACCCCAGATCATGCAGCACTACGGTGTGCCGGCTTACCAGGACGTCATGGAGTTCCTAGCGCACCTTGCCCGGAGAAAGGGGAAACTGAGGAAAGGAGGCGTGCCTGATCACGAGAAGGCAGCCAAAGCTGTGCTGAGTGACTGGATGAGGTGGGTGGGGAAGAGGCGGAACGGGGGGGTGGGGGGGTGGGTGCCAGCCCTAATCTGGCACCAGGGCAGGGGACTGGCTGGCGGGAGTTGTGGGGAATGGCACCCTTTCAGAGCCCCTGTTCTTTCCCCTCCCAGCGGGAAGATCAGCTATTTCACGCACCCCCCAGAGACCCACACGCTGCCCACCCACATCAGTGCTGAGATAGTCACGGAGATGGGCAAGGCCTTCGACTTTGAGGCGCTGGAGCAAGGCAACCAGGAGGCTTTGGCCAGTGAGTAGTGAACATGGGCTGGTAACCTGCTATGCCCCGCTCCCCTCCCAGGGCCAGGACAGAACCCAGGCGTCCTGGCTCCCAGCCGCCACCCCCCTCAAGCCAGGAGAGAACCCAGGAGTCCTGGCTCCCAGCTGTGCAATGTGGCCTTTGGGGGGCAGTACCACTTTCTCCCCCTGGGGGTGGGTGGGAAGCAGAGCATCAGCTTACGGTGCCCTCTCTGTGTCCGTTCCCTGCCCAGACCTCCCGTCGATTCCTGCGGGCATCGGCCTCGCCCCCGCCGGTCTCACTAGCGGGGCAGGGTCAGAGATGGAGGAAGAGGAGACGTTGGGAGAGGAAGAAACAGCCATGGACGAAGACAGAGATCTGGAGGTATGGAGGGAGGGGAGAAGCATGGCTTAGCCCCACAACAGGCTCCGCCCACACAGGCATCCCAAAAGTATTCTCCAGAGAGGCTGAAGCTTCAAAGACCCACCCCCTCTTGGTGCCAACAGGAGACTCTTTCTCTTAGCTGATTTGCATAATAGGCTCCACCCCATCCAAGGAATGAGCTCAGGCTCTCTGCAGACTCAGGCAGGTAGTGATCCTTTCTCTCCCCAGCCGTTTGAGCTAGAAACTTCATTTTCTTTTTATCTGAAAGCTGAGATATTAGAGTATGAGGCAGCTGCCCAATTCTGGGCCTGTCCCGTTGGCAGGCCGCCCTCTCATGCCTTACTCTCCGCTTTGTCCCTGCAGCTCGGCCCCGTGACAGTGGAACTGAAGGCTAAGAACAAAGCAGCCACTGCCGTGGAGAGACCTGTTCCCAGAGCCCCCAGCCTGGAGGAGATCTCAGCCCTAGACCCCCTGCATCAAGGGCAGGGGCTGCGGGCAGCTAGCAGAAGGCGGAAGAAGCAGCAGAAAAGAGCAGGTTGGCGGAGGGGTGCTTAGGGGATTCATCATGGGGGCATCTGGGGAAGGATGCCGTCCAGACTGAGCAATAAGGGATGGTCCCTGACCAAAGGGCTTAGTCTAGAAATTAATGGTAGAGAGGAGAAACTGAGGCACGGGAGAGGGGACTTGGCCACGGTCCAAGGCAGAGCCAGGAAGAGAACCCAGGGATCCTGGCTTCCTCCCAACTGCTCTAACCACCAGTCCCTCTCCCCTCCCAGAGCCAGGGAGAGAACCCAGGAGTCCTGTGCTCTAGGCCATGTTGTCCCTTAGCTAGGGCTAGGAGTCAATCAGGACTCCTGGGTTCCATCCCCAGCTCTATCGCGTCTCTTTGTGCCTCAGTTTCCCCTCCCACCCAGGCAGGCTGGAAGTAGGTTTCATGGCAGGGCAGTGCCCAGTGCTCTCTGCTGGCCGGGGCGCGCGCGTGTCACCGAGCGGGAGGGATTCTCACTGCAGCTCGTTTCCCCCCGGCAGAGAAAATCGCCAGCAAACTCTCCGCCACGCTGACGGCCGCCATGAACTTCGGGGCAGCAGGCGACTAGGTGCGGTGCTGGCAGCCCCCGTGAGCCCGGCCCTCCAGCTCCCTCGGGATCGATCGCCGCTCCTGGCCGGTGGCGGCCACGCAGACAAGACCAGAGCTGCCGCTACCGAATTGTCAGGCTCCTTTTATTACCGGCTAAAAGCCGCGGCACGGCACGGCCCGTCTCCATTAAAACATCACGCAGCCTCCCCCTGTCCTGCGTGTCTCACTCAGACCTGCCCAGGCTGGGGAGAGAACCCAGGAGTCCTGGCTCCCGGCTTGGGGTGACATTCACGCAGTAGGAGTCTGATCCCAGGTTGGGTTCAGCAGGATGGCACCTGCCGCCGGCAACTGAGGTCTTCCCCTTCGGGTGCTGCAGAGGGGCCCCTTCACTGTGGCTGGCGTTTGGGGGGGGTCTCTCAGGGCCGGCCGGTGCCGGAGATCATAGCAGCACAGCTGGGGGAAGAGAGACATTTCAGGCTGGTCAAAGCAGGGGGCCAGGACTCCTGGGGTCTCTCCCCAGCTCTGGGAGGGGAGTGGGGTCTACTGGTTAGAGCAGGGGAGCCAGGACTCAGGGGGGTGTCTGTGACGCTGGGGCCTGGATCCTGGTTGGTGGGGGGTGAATGGGGGTGTAAGTTGCACCCTGCTGACTCGCACTCACCCCGTCCACTGGCACAGGAACATTGCGTCTCTCCGAGTCCCGTCGGCTGGTGCGTCTCTGCGGCCGGGTGCGCTGGCGGGCCGGGGAGCGGCTCCGGATCTTGGGGCTGCTGGTGCTGAGCTCCTCCACTGGCCACAGGACAGGGAGGTTTGGGTTAGGGGGGCTCCTCGCTCCCGCCTGGGGACCCCGGGGTGCCAAGCGCTATGCAGGCCCACCTGCCACTCCCCTCCCAGAGCCAGGGAGAGGACCCAGGAGTCCTGGCTCCCAGCCCCCCCTCCTCCAACCACCAGACCCCACTCCCCTCCCAGAGTGGAGAGAGGACCCAGGAGTCCTGGCTCCCAGCCCCCCCTCCTCCAACCACCAGACCCCACTCCCCTCCCAGAGTGGAGAGAGGACCCAGGAGTCCTGGCTCCCAGCCCCCCCTCCTCCAACCACCAGACCCCACTCCCCTCCCAGAGTGGAGAGAGGACCCAGGAGTCCTGGCTCCCAGCCCCGCCCATGTAGCGCCCGCAGCACAGTGGGTCGCTCACCCCAGGGGGCTCCTCGTTCCGGCCGGGAGAGGGGCTCTGGGAAGCCCGAGTCGGCGAACTCGGCATTGTCCTGGCTGGGATCTGGGCCCCGCTGGGCCAGCAGGCGTTCTGCATGAGGGAGGGGGGCGTGGTTAGCCCATGCCTCACCCACATGCCCCTGCCCATCCAGATATGCCCCCGCCCTCTTCCCCCAGCTCCACCTTCTTGCCCACTTAACCCCTCCCACCAAGCCTTAGCCCTGCCCATATTGTCATGCTCCGCCCTCCACTAGCTCCGCCCACTGCTTTCACACAGGGACTGTCCCCCATTCCCCTCCTCCTCTAGCCCCTCCCTCCCCTCTAGCCCCGCCCCCATACCTGTCTCCTGCAGGATGTGCTGCATCTGGGCCCGGGTCTCCTGCAGCCCCCGCAGCACCTCCCGGCTCTGCTGGGCCACGTCGCGGTAAGTGAGGACGCAATAGGCCAGGACAGCCAGCCCGGCGCCCACACACAGCCTGCGGCATAGCCCCACCCAGCTGGCAAGGGCCTCCTGGCAGAGGGGGACCTGTCAGAGCGAGGACCCCCGCTCTCCACCCAGAGAACCCTGGCGTCCGGGCTCCCCGCCCCACTGCCCGGGCTCCCCCGCTCTAATCTGCCAGAGCCTACTCCCCTCCCAGATCTGGGGAGAGAACCCAGGTGTCCTGGCTCCCAGCCCCGCCTGCTCCACCCCGCCTGACCCCACTCTCCTCCCAGATCAGGGAAGAGGACCCAGGTGTCCTGGAGACCCAGTGACTGCTGAGCCCGGGGGAGGGGAGGGTCTGAAGGAGGGGTCACCCCCGCTGGGGGTGTCTGGGGCGGGGGTGCCTGGCCGGTACCGTTGGATCGGAGCCGGCCTCAGTGTTCTCCAAGACGAGTCCACTGACCACACGCTCCAGGTAGACGTTGCCCCCAACCAGGCCCAGCAGGATCAACCTCAGGCAGAAGAAAAAGGGGATCATGGGAAGGGAAAGAGGGGACAGGCCCCAGCCCCATTCGCCACCCCCCTGGCCAGCCAGTCCCTGCCCTGGGGCCAGGTGGGAGCCGGCGCCCCCTAGAGGGGACAGGCCCCAGCCCCATTCCTCACCCCCCTGGCCAGCCAGTCCCTGCCCTGGGGCCAGGTGGGAGCTGGTGCCCCCCAGAGGGGACAGGGCCCTGCCCCATTCCCTGCCCCTACCTGGCCCCAGCAGTGCGCTGGCTGGAGGTGAGCAGCAGGGCGGCGCTGCCGGTCAGCAGGTGGTAGAGGAAGGAGCCCAGGGCTTGGGACTCCCCCACCAGGAAGCGGTGCAGGAAGCTGAGGCGGTTCACGATCTCGGCGAAGGCCAGGCGTTGCCGTCCGGCCACCTCTTGCATGTCCCGAAAAGCCTCCGGACACCTGCGGGGAGCCAGGGACTGTCAGCAGCCGTGCTTCCCAAAGCCAGCAGAGAACCCAGGAGTCCTGGCTCCCAGCCCCCCCTGCTCTAACCCACTAGACCCTTCTCTCCCAGAGCTGGGGAGAGAACCCAGGAGTCCTGGCTCCCAGCCCCCCCCCCCGCTCTAATCACTAGACCCCACTCCCCTCCCAGAGCTGGGGAGAGACCCCAGGCATCTTGGCTTCCAGGGGCTGGGGTTACCCCTGGAGGAGTCCTGCAGTGTCTGTCTCAGCAGCTCCCCATGGCGGAGGATCTCTTCCTGGGATCGCAGGGTGGCCTCTTGTGCCCGCGCTGACTGCTCTGCCAGCTGGTTGGTCTCTTCCAGCCGCTCAGCTACGCTCTCCGAACTGGCTACCAGCCTGGGGGCGGAGGGGGAAGGAGCGTTAGCACCAAAGCGGGGCCTTGATCCTGCCCCATGCCCCCAACCCAGGCAGTGTGCTACTTATCCACACAGACAGCACTGCCCATTAGCCCCCTCTGTGAGCAACGGGCTCAGGCCCTCTGCAGACTCAGGCAGCTTCCGGCACGCTCGGGTCACACCTGTGAGCAATGGGCTCAGGCTCTTGGCAGCTTTTGTACCCGACCGCGAGAGCTAGAAACGTACCTGGTGTTTTCTGCCCGAGATCTGAGATTCTGGCGCAATCCCTCGACTCCTGGAGCCAGGGCCTCATGTAGACCTAGACACTGATGAACTCCACAGTCCGCAGGCCTGGGCTGGCGACTGGCCCACCTCCAGCTCCCCAAATGTGCAGGCCAGGCCCTGCTACACACAAAGCCCCTGCCCCATAGATGCTCCCCCGCACAGTCCCTTCCCATCCAACTCTGGTGGAAAAGATGTAGGGAAAGGCTCTGTATCCACACCCCATGCAGCCCCCTCCCCCCACATAGCCCCTCTCCCAATCTGCTCCCCAACAGCCCCCTCCCACCTAATGTTCTCCTTTGTTTTGGGAATGGGGGACACATCGTCATGTTCTGCTCAGACCCCGGCCTCTCTGCCAGCATCGGGGGGCTGACTAGGTGGGACTAGGGGGGTATCTGCCCTGCCAGAGACTCAGCGAACTCAGCGCAGGATGGAAGCCAGCACCCGCTAGAAGGGAAAGGCCCTGTGTCCCATTCCCACCCCCCGAGCCAGCCAGTTCCCACCCAGGGGCCAGATGGGAATGAGCGCCCCCTGGAGGGGACCCCGCCCCCCGCTCACCTGTGCACGGTGCTCTCAGCTTGCTGCTGCCAGGCCTCGCTGCGAAGGAGGTAGCAGATGCTGTGGGCATGGGTGAAGAATTCAGTGTAGACCCCGAAGGCCACAGGGTCCATGTGCTGGGTGCAGGCCCGGACGGAGCTGCCGGCCTCGCAGCGAGGGAAGGGCCGGCCCGACCTGGCCAAGGGACAGCGGGGGTCTTAGCCAGGAACCCCTAGGCCACCATCCCCGGGGATAGAAATCAGGTGTCCGGGTTCCTAGGCCCCTGCTCTCACCCACCAGCCCCCACTTCCCTCCCAGAGCCAGAGAGAGAACCCAGGTGTCCTGGCTCTCAGCCCCCTCCTCCCAGCCTACTAACCCCACTTCCCTTCTATAGTCAGCGATAGAACCCAGGTGTCCGGCTCCCAGAGCCCCCGCCCCCATAGAGACAGAACCCAGGTGCCCCAGCTGCCCCTCTAGCTGGGGTCAGGACCCAGGTGTCCGGGCATCACCTCTGCAGGTGGCAGTGGGCGAAGGCCAGGGCGATGCGGCTTTGCTGCTCCTCTCCCAGCTGCTGGCAGCCCCCGTCCAGCCTGCCCAGGGCCCCCGCCCAGCAGGCCCCCAGCTGCGGGTGCTGGGCCAGCGTCTGGGCCTCCCGCAGCCGGGCACGGCCCTGGGCCAGCAGCCCTGGGTCTGGGGGAGCCAGGCCCTGGGGGGCAGGGTAGAGGCAGAGCATGAGGAGGAGAGCTCGGGGCAGCCCCATGGGGCTGGGGCTAGGGCTGCAGGGGCAGACAGGCCACTGGGGAGAGTCAGGAGAAAGGGTCAGTGGTGGGTGGGGCCACTGGGGATTAAACACTTTATGGGGGCGGGGCCACTGGGGGTCACACCCCTTCTCATTGGGGCGGGGCCACTGGAGTCATGCTCCTCCCATTGGGGGCAGGGCCTGAGGGGTTAAACCACTTATGGGGGCAGGGCTAATGGGGTTACACCCCTTCATATGGGGGGGTCACTGAGGGGCTAATGGGGTTACACCCCTTCATATGGGGGGGTCACTGAGGCCACACCCTCTTCACATTGGAGGGCGGGGCTATACCCCTCATGGGGATAGGGTCACTGGGGTTGCACCCCTTCTCATGGGGGGCTGGCCACTTGGGGTTACACCCTCTCATGGGGCAGGGCCCCTGAGACCTCTATGGAATCCACCCCCCTTTTCCTGGCGCAGATGGTACATTCTGTCTCAGCTTTTCCCTTTCCCCCGCCGGCCCCCGTAGCGCTCAGGGGCTGGCCCCTCCCTTTGCAGGAGGCGGGGTTGGGTCACAAGGCTATTGCCGCCGAGCGCTCGCTGCTTGGGCCGTGGAGCTTCAGCGCCATCTAGTGGCCCGGATGGACGTTGGCTTGTTTACTGCTGGAGGGCATGAAGCTAAGCAGGAGCCAGCGAGTTCAGGGCATGGAGGGGGTCCAGGGGAGATGCCAGCCCCTCCCCCCAAACTGTCCAGTCTCTCCTCATTAGTTTGCATGAGCCAGCTGCACCTTCGGGCCACTGCTGCTCTGGGACGAGTGGGGTCTTGTCGTTAAGGGGGTGGGAGCCAGGACTCCTGGGTTCTCTCCCCCACTCAGGGAGGGGGGCTGGGAGCCGGGGTTCTGTTCTGTTCTCTCAGGGACCTTCCATCTACCTTAAAGCTGTGTTTTAGCCTTCTTGGGAATTCCACCTTAAATTGCATGCTGGCCCTCAGGGGAGGGTCCACCTTACATCTGTGAGCTGGCCACCTGGGGAAATGCCATGTGAAATCTGCCAGCTGTGTGTGCACCAGATGGTGATCTTTCCCCTGAACCTCCTGAGCTGTGTTTGCCAGCTAGGACTCCCACCTTCAGCCAAGGGGCTGCCCAGCTGGGAAAATTCCCCCTTCAAGCCAAGATTCTCATAGAACTGTAGTTAGAATTGACCTTACAAATTAAATTACCTACACCCCATATCATGGGGGGAACCATGCTGAACAGATGAATCACGCACAATTACATGGGAGAAAAATCCACGTTACATCAAAAACCCGTATCCATTCCACCTTAAATCACCACATGGCACTGGGGAAGGAAATCCAGCTTAATTTAAGGACTCATGTTCATTAATGGAGAGGTGGGATCCACCTTGATTCAGCAAGTGTTTTGGGCAGGGGGAGCTTCCACCTTCAATCCACAGTCCATGGCAGGTAGGGAGGATTCCACCTTTAATCCACGTGGTGGGGAAGGAGAATTCCCTGTGAACTCCACAAACTGCAGGAAACAGGGAGAAGGAGGATTCCACCTTAAATCCATGATCCGAAGGGGTGGGCGGAAGGAGGATTCCACCTTAAATCCACGATTGGAGGTGGGGAGGGGCAATTCCACCTTAAATCCACGATTGGAGGGGGGAGAGGGAGGATTCCACCTTAAATCCACAAGCCGTGGCCATGACCAGGGCCCAGGCGGCTGTGTCCTGCCCGGCTGCAGGGTCAGTCTCAGCAGCAGGACACGGGGCGGCCCCCACCCTGCCCAGGCCACGCCCCCTGGCCTCACGCCTCCAGTGGATGGGGGACCACGAAGGCGCCGTAGGCCCCGCCCAGCAGGGCCTGCACGTCGCCGCCCTTCACCAGCCAGCAGGGGGCCTGGTGGGCCGGCAGGGGCGAGTCCTTCAGCAGCTTGGTGACCCGTGTGGCCGGCACCGTGGCCCCGCCCCTCTGTAGCCGGGCCGGCTGCTCCCCGGCGCCCGGCTGCAGTCGGATGGCCGCGTTCTGGAACTGACCTGCAGGGGGCGAGAGGGGACACAGGGTGAATGGGGGGAGCCCCCTGGCGGCCGGACAAGTGGGGCAGGGAAGGGGGGGCCCGGAGCCCCTTACCCAGCAGCCCGTGGGCCTGGGCCGAGAGCCCGCTGCCGTCCAGCACGTAGAAGCCCAGGTGGTCTCTCTGCAGGCGGCTGGGGTGGCTGTACCGATGGCGCTGGACCACGAACTCCAGCCCGGCGCCCAGCCGCAGCGTCGCGTTGGCGCCCGGCCCCACCTGCACCCCCAGCCCGGGGCGGCTGACCCAAGCCGGGCGGCCGAAGGGCAGATCCAGGGCCCCCTCCCCCTGCAGCGCCACGCCCTGGAGCGTCACGGTGATCATGTAGTGGAGCGGGGGAGGCCCCACCAGTACGGTGATGGCGTCGAAGTAGGTGCGTGGCCGATCCGCCGTGCCCGGCCGTGGCGGGGCGCCAACCAGGTGGCCGTGGACTGACAGGCCTGCGGGGAGAGAGCGCAGGCCACGCTGCGGTCACTGAGCTGTCAGGGATCCCCGTCTCCTCCCCATCACTCGGCCCACCGTCCCCATGGCACCACGGCTGCCCCGGGACCTCCTCCTGGATCCCCCCCACTCGACCTCAGAGCCGGGGAGAGAACCCAGGCATCCTGGCTCCCAGCCCCCCTGCTCTAACCACCAGCCCCGCTCCCCTCCCCGGGGCGCTGAGCTGCGGGGTGGGGGTCTCACCGCTGGGGGGGTCTGTCACCAGCTGGAGCACGTCTCCTGGGTGCCCATCCAGCGTAAAGCACAGCGTCTCAGCGGAGCCGGGCAGTCGTGCCACGAAATGAGGGTCTCCATCCACTGCAAGGCAGAACAAGGGGTGGAGTAAGGGGGGGAACCAGGCTGCCTCCTCCCCCAAACATCACCTGGGTGTCTGGGCAGCCTTACCTGAGGAGGAGAAAGTGAAGAATCTGGCACCAGCCAGGTCTGCCATGCCATCTAAGGACGGGGGAAGAAGAGAGGGTTACAGCCAGTTGGGTGATGGAGCTTTCCCCCCCACCCCGATCCTTGGGCATCCTCTTCTCTCTCCAAAGCACCATGGGCACCCACTGGCCAGGCCTGGCAGAGCCCAGAGCGACCATGACGGGCAGCGGCTGAGAGCCAACAGGAAACTGCCAAGTCTCCCCCTGCCCTCACCCAGGCCCAGACCTGAAACATACCTGTGTCACCGTCCTGTTTCTCTGACAGGTCTGGAAGGGAAAGGCAGAGTCAGGGTGGGGGTGTGAGGCCATCTGGCAGTCAATGGCAAAGCTGACTCACTTAGCATGAGAGGCTGGATGCTGGCACCATGCCCCCGACCCTGGCTCCAGCCCACTCATAGTGGCTGCAGAACGTCAGCGGTCAGTTTTAAAAAATATTCAGTTTCTAGCTCTCATGGTTGGGGAGCAAAGGTGGAAAATGGGACCAGTGCCTGCCTGAGTCTGCAGAGAGCCTGAACCAATTGCTAAGTGATGTCCTGGAGGGTTGGGGTGTCATCTCAGTGCCCCACCCCTTAATCCCTGCCTTGCCCCTTCGGGCTTCAGTGCAGCTGTGTGTGGCAGGGAAAAGGACCTGCCCAGTTCTCAGCAGGCCTTGCTCACAGCCCCCAGGAACTACAACTTCCAGAACTCCTGGTCTTAAAGAGCTGGCCGAGTGGGATTTCCCTTAAGGGCCAGCGTGCTGGTAGACCCCTCCCCACAACCTGCCTGGCTACCCCACCCAGGAGAGAGCGCGTGGGCCAGGTTGTGGGGTTACCTGAGTAGTCTTCATAATCCAGGACACCTGTAGGGAGAGAGAGACAGAATGAACATCCATGCAATTCTGGGAGGGGGGATCCCAGCAGTCGGGAGGCAGGCGGCGGGGGAGCACAGGCCGGGGGGGATCAGGCTGAGATCCCGGTGGGTAAGGAGGGGGCAGCATGAGGAGCACAGGCCAGGGGGGAGTCGGGGAGGGATCCCGGCCACGGGAGAGGTGGGCGGCTTGGGGAGCATGGGCTGGGGGGGATGGGATCCCCACCCTTCTCTCCTTTGGCCACCACAAAGCTGTACACGGCCGGCGGTTGGCGGGACTCCACGGATTCCTCGGCCGTGTCCTTTGCCGACAGCAGTTCTGACTCTGCTGGCGGCAACAGCAGCAGCCACTGGCTGAGGTCGGCGGCAGGTGGGATGGATCCCACAGCGGCCGGCGTGCCCCGGGAGCCCTCGGACTCCACCCTGTGGTGGGGGGCAGCCGTGCTGTTGCCAGTCCAGGCGTCTGTGATAGTCCGGACCGTGGGAGCCGCTGTGCCCCATGAGAAGGGGGCCCTCTCTGTTCTGAGATGTGGCTGGCGCTTGGTGGCCGGTTGCGGGGGCATCTCCTGCTGGCCGGAAGGGGGTGCCGTGGCTGATCCTGGGCTCGGCGGCAGATGAGCTGTGGCCCTGGGGTTCCCAGCTTTGGGTGTTTTTCCGGGTGTGGCTCTGGCTGCCTTGGTGACACCGTGGGCTGTGGGAGGAGCTGGCGTGGCCGTGCCAGGTGCCGGTGTGGCTCGGGCTAGTTTGGAGGCGCCCTGGGACGTGGCAGGTGCTCCTGGGACGGGCAAGGCTCTGGCTAGGTTGGGGAGGCCTGCGGCAGCTTTGGTGCCACTCCCAGGCAGCAAGGTGGATGTGGCCCCCAGAGCGGGCATGACTCTGGAAGCTTTGCTGGCACGGTGGGCCGCCATGGTGGCCAGGGGTGTAACAGGAGCCCCTGGCGTGGCCCGAGCCGTGGCACTCTCCTCCTCCTCTTCTGGCTTGACCACCACCAGTGAGGTGACGGGCGTGACAAAGTTATACTTCAGTGAGAGGTTGGTGGCCTTTTCAGTGAGCAGCCAGCGCGCAGCAGTGTCGTTGGAGTGGAACCGGGCCCGGAGCTGCTCCTGGATGGTGAAGTAGGCCCAGAGGCGCTGGACGAATTGCCCGATCTGCCCCAGGTCTGGAGAGCAGCCGAACGGGGCGGCCTCCGTGGCGTTGGCCGAGATATCGTTCTCCAGGCTCAGCGGCCCGACGTGCCCATGGCCTGCAGCCTGGACGTGCAGCTCAGTGGCCCCCGGGGCCAGCCGTCCGGCCACCACCAGCTCAGCGCCCCGGAAGTAGTGGGGGAAGAGCGTGCGGGTGAGGTCTGCGCCGTCGCGGTAGGAGAGGGCCACGTCGGACAGCAGTGGGCTAGCGATCTCGTCGTAGAAGCCGGCGAGCTGCAGGGCGGCATCGGCGTCCTCATAGATGCGCCGGGCGATGCCCCGGTTCTCCAGCGCCAGGCGCCGCAGCAGCCCATAGTCAGCATCGTCCCCAAAGGCCAGGCCAAACAGGGAGACGGAGCCGCCCAGCGCCTGCCGGGCATTGGCCAGGATGCGAGTGCCTGAGGTCACGCCCGCCGTGGGCTCCCCGTCCGTCAGGAAGATGAGCAATGGGATCTGCCGGGGGGATGGCTCCGGCGAGCTCTGGATCAGCACCGAGGCGGCCTCCAACAGGGCTTTGTTGATGTCGGTCCCTGAGGAGGAAAAAGGCAGAAGGATCTGGATTTGCAGCCTTGCATTGAACCCCACTCCCCAAGTCGGGGAGAGAACCCAGGCGTCCTGGCTCCCAGCCCCCCTGCTCTAACCACTAGACCCCTCTCCCCTCCCAGAGCTGGGAGAGAACCTGGGGTCCTGGCTCCCAGCCCTCCTGCTCTAAGCACTAGACCAGTGGTTTTCAAACTGTGAGTTGGGATCCCAAAGTGGGTCACGCCCCCCCCTTTGAATGGGGTCATCAGGGCATCAGGGTGGGGGAGCTCGGGCTTTGGCCCCCATGCCCAGAGTGGGGGGGCTTGGATAGACTCAGGGTTTGGTCCCCCCTCCTAGGGTCGTGCAGTAATTTTTGTTGTCAGAAGAGAGTGGTGGTACAATTAAGTTTGAGAACCCCGCACTAGACCCCATTCCTCTCCCAGAACCAGGGAGAGAAGCCAGGAGTCCTGGCTCCCAGCCCTCCCCCACCCCGACACCCCTCTAGCCCACCCAACCCCACTCCTTCTACTGATTTGTGCTCCGTTGTGTTATGATAATTTCTAATACAGTACAATTTCTGCATCCTGTGGGGAGTGGGGCAGGAGCCCTGGCTGTGGGGGGGGAACTCCTAGGGGGCACTGTGGGGAGCGGGGCAGGAGCCCCAGCTGCAGGAGCCCCCCCGCAGTGACTCACATCCATCAGCTTCCATTCTGTGGACGTAGTCCTTGGCGGTGCGGACATTGTGGGCCGTGGCCGGGATGGAGCGCCCGGCCTTCCACACGTGGACGGTGTCGGAGAAGGTGATGATGTTGAAGCAGTCGTCCGGGTGGAGGTCGCTCAGGATGATGTGCATGGCCTTCTTGGTCTGGAGGCAGAAACGCAGCATGGCTGACCCTGCTTGGGGGACATCTAGGGGGTGGGGAGGTGGGGGGCAGGGCGGGATTGGAGGGACAGGGTGGAAGGGGTGGATTTCAGTGAGGGTTTCAACGGGGAAAGGGGGCACCAATCGGTCTGGCTCCGTCGTTTCGTTTCATCGTGGGGTGGCGTTACACTGGTCTGCGTTACGTGTGCTATGCGATACACAAACACATACTAATGTGTATGGGGGACACCCTCACACCCAGAATTCTACCGAGAGAGAGAGAATTCGCTCTGTACCATAGACTCCCTCAGTTTCCATTACAGAAACTGAGGCCGGACGAGTTGCATCGAGAGTGCTGAAGGAATTGGCAGTGGTGATTGCAGAGCCATTGGCCATTATCTTTGAAAACTCGTGGCGAACGGGGGAAGTCCCGGACGACTGGAAAAAGGCTAATGTAGTGCCCATCTTTAAAAAAGGGAAGAAGGAGGATCCTGGGAACTACAGGCCGGTCAGCCTCACCTCAGTCCCCGGAAAAATCATGGAGCAGGTCCTCAAGGAATCAATCCTGAAGCACTTACATGAGAGGAAAGTGATCAGGAACAGTCAGCATGGATTCACCAAGGGAAGGTCATGCCTGACTAATCTAATTGCCTTCTATGATGAGATTACTGGTTCTGTGGATGAAGGGAAAGCAGTGGATGTATTGTTTCTTGACTTTAGCAAAGCTTTTGACACGGTCTCCCACAGTATTCTTGTCAGCAAGTTAAAGAAGTATGGGCTGGATGAATGCACTATAAGGTGGGTAGAAAGTTGGCTAGACTGTCGGGCTCAACGGGTAGTGATCAATGGCTCCATGTCTAGTTGGCAGCCGGTGTCAAGTGGAGTGCCCCAGGGGTCGGTCCTGGGGCTGGTTTTGTTCAATATCTTCATCAATGATCTGGAGGATGGTGTGGATTGCACCCTCAGTAAGTTTGCGGATGACACTAAACTGGGAGGAGAGGTAGATACGCTGGAGGGGAGGGATAGGATACAGAGGGACCTAGACAAATTGGAGGATTGGGCCAAAAAAATCTGATGAGCTTCAACAAGGACAAGTGCAGAGTCCTGCACTTAGGACGGAAGAATCCAATGCACCGCTACAGACTAGGGACCGAATGGCTCGGCAGCAGTTCTGCAGAGAAGGACCTAGGGGTGACAGTGGACGAGAAGCTGGATATGAGTCAGCAGTGTGCCCTTGTTGCCAAGAAGGCCAATGGCATTTTGGGATGTATAAGTAGGGGCATAGCGAGCAGATCGAGGGACGTGATCGTCCCCCTCTATTCAACATTGGTGAGGCCTCATCTGGAGTACTGTGTCCAGTTTTGGGCCCCGCACTACAAGAAGGATGTGGATAAATTGGAAAGAGTCCAGCGAAGGGCAACAAAAATGATTAGGGGACTGGAACACATGACTTATGAGGAGAGGCTGAGGGAACTGGGATTGTTTAGTCTGCAGAAGAGAAGAATGAGGGGGGATTTGATAGCTGCTTTCAACTACCTGAAAGGTGGTTCCAGGGAGGATGGTTCTAGACTATTCTCGGTGGTAGAAGAGGACAGGACAAGGAGTAATGGTCTCAAGTTGCACTGGGGGAGGTTTAGGTTGGATATTAGGAAAAGCTTTTTCACTAGGAGGGTGGTGAAACACTGGAATGCGTTACCTAGGGAGGTGGTGGAATCCCCTTCCTTAGAATTTTTTAAGGTCAGGCTTGACAAAGCCCTGGCTGGGATGATTTAATTGGGGATTGGTCCTGCTTTTGAGCAGGGGGTTGGACTAGATGACCTCCTGAGGTCCCTTCCAACCCTGATATTCTATGATTCTATGAAAACAGGAGAGGCTATATACATTTTATTTATAGAGTGACACCTAATCTGTGCATATCAAATACCCCTATAATTAGATCCATTATAATGGGATAGTCACATTTTATGTATATGAGCGGATGCAGATCTACAATTCTAGCACGTTATATTCACTTATGTCCTGGGTATGTTATATCTCACATATACACATACATCGACACAGTGTTGTAGCCACCACGTCGGTCCCAGGATATCAGAGACACACGATGGGCGAGGCCCTATCTTTTATTGGACCAACTTTGGTTGGGGAGAGAGACGAGCTTTCAAAGAAGTTGTTCCAATAAAAGATAAGACTCACCCACCTTGTTGCTCTGACACACACGAGCACAGTCTTGTTTTCCTACAAGGTATCACTGACTCTACAGACCCCATGTTCTGTTTTATTTTGGCTGATTTTCAACCCATTTCGTTCAAGCATGCACATCCATCTCTGAACAGTCTTCCGGTTCCTCTTTGCCACACGAGCCCTCCATCATCTGCGAAAGGGACACAGCAGGGTGCCATCCTCTGGACGCATCGAGCACCAAAAAGTGCATCGTGCCAAGCCCCGACGTACTCCCCCTCTAGCTCGACATGGTTCAGTTTCTGCAGCACCACAGCAGCGTTCTGGAGGAATCAGATGTAGTCTTCAGGAATTGGTTTCCTTCTCCTGCACCACTAGATGACTCCCCTCGGAACGTGGTCATAAGTGTTCTCAAGAGCGATGAGTACCATGTGCAGGGTATGTCTCTTCTTTCTCTCCCTTTTCCCCCCAGTCTTAGTGCAAAGCCAGCGTCCATCGTTGACTCACCTGGCGTGAATCCAAATTGATTATCACTGCCCTTTACCACTCTCTTTGTAGTCACTTATCAATAACTTTCTCCCAGATCTTCATATGAGGTCTATGAGTTCACCACAGTCTTGTATGTCTCCTTTTCTCTTAAATATTGGTAGGAATGTGGACGTCCTCCAGGCAGCAGGCATCTTCTCAGTCCTGATGCCATTAAACGGCTGTGCCAATAAAAGCAGTCGTATGTGCCCCAGCACTTCCATACTTCTGCTGATCTGCTGCTATTTTTCCTGGTGCTCAAAGCTTGTGCAACTTCTTCTTCCAGGACTGGTGCCGCCAGCCCCTGGGGTGACTTACAAGGTTTAGAAAACCTGACCTCTGAGGAGCGATTACAAAAACTGGAGAAAAGACGACTGAGGGGGGACCTGATAAGTCTTCAAATCGGTTCCGGTCTGTTATAAAGAGGACACTGATCAATTGTTCTTCATGTCCACTGAAGGTAGGACAAGAAGCAATGGGCTTAATCTGCAGACAGGGAGATTTATATTAAATAGTAGGAAAATGTTTCCAACTCTAAGGGTAGGTAAGTTCTGGAACAGGCGTCCGAGGGAGGCTGTGGACCCCGACACTGGAGGTTTTTAAGGACAGGCTGGACAAACCCTTGCCGGGGATGGTCTAGGTTTACTTGGTCCTGCCTCAGTGCAGGGGGCTGGACTTGGTGACTTCTTAAGGTCCCTTCCAGCCCAACATTTCTGTGATTCTATGGTTCTCTTGGGTTCTCTTCATTCATAAGACTTTCAAAATAATTTCTCCACCCTTCTATAATCTGTTTCTCATTGATTAACATATTTCTGGTTTCATCTTTAATGACTTTGATCTCACCAGTGTCTTTAGTTCTCTTACTGGGGGGCTTTGCCAGTCTGTGTATTTTTCTCTCATCCTCCTGTTTCAAGATGGGTATATAAGCCTTCCACAGCCTTAGCGTTAGCAGCTGCCACCTCTTTCTTCAATATCCTTTTGCCTTTTTTCCACTACTGAAAAATCCTGCGGTTGGAGCATCGCTTGTCACAGTTTTAAACACCTTTTCTTTTCCTCCACGGCCTCTTGAACTTCCTCATTTCACCAAAAAATCTCACTGGGGAAAAGGAGTCTTGTTTTCGTTTCACCAGGCAGGCACTCTATACATTCGCGATGTTTGCTTGCAATAGGATTCCACCCCGATACGTATTTTCTCTTAGTTTATATGGATTAGCGGATTTAACATAGTATATTGCTTCAACAATGATGAAACAAGCGTTTCAACAATGTTTCATTTTGACTTTATCCCTTCATTTCCTTTAGCCTTTTCTATTATTATTAGAACTCAGCAAATCCCTGATTTTTCACTTCAGAGGCTGAACCAAAAAAAAATTCAGGAAAAAAGGGTTCTGGGTTGAACGAAACATTTTGTTTTAATATTTCAGAATGAACAAACCCAGCTAAATTTCAAAACAAAACCTCAAAACACTTAAAAAGAAAAGGAGTACTTGTGGCACCTTAGAGACTAACCAATTTAGTGAAGTGAGCTGTAGCTCACGAAAGCTTATGCTCAAATAAATTGGTTAGTCTCTAAGGTGCCACAAGTCCTCCTTTTCTTTTTGCGAATACAGACTAACACGGCTGTTACTCTGAAACCTGTCAAAACACTTAGTCGACTATTTTGCATTTTTTTCCCAGCTGAAACAATTGGCCGAATTTGGTCGCATCTTTCAAAAACTATTAAACCCAAACATTTCACCCACCTCTTACACTCATCTGAATGTGAAGAGTCAGATTCCTGGGTTTTTCATGCCTTTGATCTAGTTTGCCCTAGATCTAGATTTGCCCCCAAATCCTTCCTAGAGCGGAGCTGTCAGAAGAACCTCTGCCAGTGACGGAGAATCCAGCACAATCCTTGGTCACTTGTTCCAGTGGGTGATTCCCCTCCTATTTACACCTTATTTCCAGTCTGAATTTGTCCCGTTTCAACGTCCATCCACTGGATCTTGTTAGACCGTATAGAAATCGATGTCATACATAGAAATATGAGCTCTGTATTATGTTTATCCTCCACTGTGTTATACTGAAGATCTTAGATTGCTTCCACATCATCAGATGCAAAGGACCCAGTGTTAACGCCTGGAATTTTTTCAGAATTTCCAGCCAGTGTCAAATTTCGAGATCTCAACTCCGAAAGAAAACGGAAATTTGGCATTTCAAACACGGAGCTGTTCAAACGCGGAGCTGACAGATTTGAGGGGGATGGAGCAGAGTGCTGGATTGGATAATTGTCTAAAGGAGCTGATGGATATGCAAATTAGACCATGGCTTCATCTGCATGGATGTTGACCCATGTCCTAGGAGGCCTGCTGTTGTGGGGGTGGGTGCTTCCTTTTCTGTGGCCCCACCTCAGATCTCCTGGCTGCCCCCTCCCCTCTGCTCAGATTCCCCCTCCCCACTGGTCTGGTCTCTGGGCGATCTCCCCCTGGCATCTCCACCCTCTTACCTGCTTCATCTTGGTGCCATGCATGGAGCCGCTGATGTCGATGACAAACACCACATTCTTCTGCATGGGGGGCAGGCCACGGGGAGCGAAGTAGTGAACGAAGTAGCCGTTGTAGATCTGCCAGAGAGGAAAGGGTGCGGGGCCGAAGGGCTGAGGCTGCGGCTGCCCAGGGCACAGGTGTGGCAGCGAGAGGAACCCATGGGACAGGCAGGGGGTGCCTGTGTGCACCCTTCTGCCTGGGCATCCATCCCTCACCACGCACACTGTTCCCTCCTGACTCACCATACATACCCCTTCCCTCCCGCCCACAGCCCTCCATCCCTCGCCCCCCCACCCTTCACCCCCCAATGCCTCATCCATCCCCCCACACCATCCCCTCCCTGCTTCCCCATACACACTCCTTCCCTCCCGCCCACAGCCCACCATTCCCCGCACACACTGTCCCCTCCCAGCCTCCTTCTACACACCCCATCCCTCCTCCCTCACACCCTGTCCATCCATCCCCCTCATGCTCCATCCCTGCCTCCATCCCACACGTCCCATCTATCCCTCCCCCCCATACCCCTCCCTCCACCCCAGACATGTCTATCTGCCCCCTTCCGCTGTGGGCTGTTCCCTGTTCTCTACTCCATGGCCCTCATTCCCCCCCCCGGCCGTGAGGTCTCAGCTCCAGCCACCCCTCACCTGCACGTCCCCAGCCACATCTGGCATGGCCACGTCGTACTGCACCACGAAGTCCCCCAGGATGCCTGAGCTGGAGAAAGCCACCTGTTCCTGTGGGGTGGGGGTGAAGACAACCCAGGCGCAGTGGCTCCCCTTCTCCACCCGGGTGGATGGCGGCACATCGGCGTCCCCTGCAGAGAAGCCGTGGTCATCAGGGCTGGACGGAGGCTGGGAGACGGGGACCCCGTGGCACATGGGCCCCTGCCCTGAGAGTTCTCCCCACAGACCCGACCAACTCATTCCACCACCCCCAGCCCATCTCCCTCAATGTCCTGGAAGGAAACAGAAAATCCTCACTGGTGAAATGCCAAGACTGGAGGGGGTGGGACATAGGGAAGGGCCAGGTCATGGATACAGAGCAAGCTGGGTGGCTGCTGGGCGCAGGCGAACAGTGTGGCTCCGTGGAAACGCGTCCCTCTGGGAACAAGGCGTGCTGGCCCGCCTTACAGGCTGGGTGCCTCTCTCCTGGTAAGCAGCGACCTAAAAAAGACTTGGGGGTCGTGGGGGAGAATCAACGGAACAGGAATTCCCAGTGCGGCGTGGGGGCCCAAAGAGCTAACACTGTATAAACCGGGGACTCTTGAGCAGGAGCTTTCCCCTCTGGATCTGGCCCCGGTGCAACTGCTGCGGCTGGACTGCTGTGTCCAATCCTGCTGTCCACACTTCAAGCGGGAGGATGATAAATTGGGGAGGGATCAGAGGAGGGCCACGGGAACGATACAAGGGATAGGGAACCAGCCTGAGAGCGAGAGACTCCCAGAGCTCAATCTAGTTCGCGTCACAAAGAGAAGGCAAAGGAGTGCCCTGATCCCCGCTAGAAGTCCCTACACGGGGCACAAATATTTAACAACAGGCTCTTCGATCCAGCACAGGGCGGCCTAACCCAATCCAACAGCTGGACGTTGAAGCGAGAAATTCAGAGAGGAAATCAGGTCTCAGTTTTAACAGTGAGAGTCAATAATCATGGGATTGGGTTCCCAAGGGTGTGCTGGATTCCCCAGCACGGGCGACTTTTCCATCAAAACAGGATCTCTTTTTTGTAAGCCCTGCTCTAGGTGTGATTTGGGGCAGCTCTCTGGCGTGTTACAAAGGAGGTCAGACGAGATGGTCACAACAAGCCCAGCTGGCCTCGAGATCTGCGACTCTAGATCGGGCAGGGTATTTCACGGGAGGTGTCTACAGAAACTCGTAACTCGTCAGGCCTCGGAACCGTTGCGAGACATTCGAACGGGTGACAGTTAAGGGCCAACATGTTCCTACTGAAAGCAGGTTGGCTGGGCTTGGAGGAGAAATGTATCAGCAGAGGGCGTTACTCATCAGCCAGTTGAGCTGCCTTGCTCCCTCCCAAAATTATCCCTGGCAAACTCCAGGCAAAATTATCCCAGGCAAAATCCCCCACATCGCCTATCAGGGACCATCAGAGTCACCAGCCTGATCTCCTGCACATCGCAGGCTCAGGGCCTCCCCCACCCACGCCAGCAAGAAGCCAGAACCCCTGGCTGAGTTACTGGTGCCCTCAAATTTTGATGTCAAGACTTCAGATTACAGAGAATCTTCCGTTTCCTCTAGTTCGAACCAGCCATTGAGCAGTGCCCCACGCCGCGGAGGGTGGTGAGAAACGCTCCAACTGACCTGGGGGGAAATCCCACTTGGTTAGCTAGGAGGGGGAGCGATCCATAAGTCTAGACCCAGGTTGGGGTTTCAGGATCTAGTTTGGTCCCCACTTATTTCCATCACTGGTTCTAGTTCACTCTTGAGTCTTACTTTAATGAACCTTTTTCAAGAAGTGCCCACATGTGGCCTGCGTTACATGGGGGGTGGGGGAAAGCTAGTAAACTGGAGCACGCTCCACCTAGGGGGCTGAGAATTGGGGATTTCAGGAGCGAGATAACGCAGGAGAACTCAGGGAGTGGGTGCACTATTGTTAAGCTGCCAGGCAAAGTTAGGGCTGGCCCAGCCCAGATGGGAGTGCAGGAGTGGCTACCACCAGAAAGATTCCCTGTTGCTAGAGGCAGATGGCAACAAGGTGACTTGTATCCTGAGTAACCGGGGAACAGTCACAAATGCGCCACGGCTCTTGGCCACTGAACTGCAGCAGAATCCCGGCTACCAGGTTGAAAAAAAAAGAAGAGTAAGTTTCTAGGTTACGGGGTTGAAGGAAAAGATTAAAAATGTGACAGATGCACCCATGCCTGCCTGAGTGTGCAGAGAGCCTGAGCCGACCGCTCGCAGAGGTGTGAACCGTGTGTACCTCGCAAGGTGTTGGTGAGCAGGCGGCTGGTGCGGAGGGGCAGCACGTGGACGTAGTCGATGCCGGTGCGCTCCGAGATGCTCACCTCCACGGTGAGGTTCCCCACCACCTGCTGGGGACGCACACTCACGGCGTGCTGGTACTTGCCCAGATGCCGCTGCAGCAGCTCCTCGTAGCTCAGCTCGAAGGACACCTGGCTGCCGGCCGCCACGCTGGCGGAGACCCGGAACTTCTCTGTCTCCCGGTCCCTGGGGGCGGGGGGCAAAGCCAGGGATGGAACCCGGGAGTCCTGGCTCCCAGCCCTCACTCCTCTAACCCACTAGACCTCACTCAGAGCCGGGGAGAGAACCCAGGAGTCCTGGCTTCCAGTGCCCCGCTCTAGCCACCTCTAGCCAGGGTCTCACCTCGTGCCAACATGAGCCGCGGTCTGGCCCTGTCTCCGGGCCTCGTCGTACATCTTCTTGGCTTGATGCTTCTCTTTCACCTCAGCCACATAGAGTTTATTGTTGATGGCTCTAAGATGGAAGAGAGGGGGATTATGGGACATGGCCTTAAATCTGCCTGATAGCAACAGACAGTGGGGGTGGGTCTCCTTGATCAGACCTGGTTTTGGGGACCCTCCATCCCCATCCCATCCCTCCAACCATCTCTCTATTCCCATACCTTCCATCCTTCCCCAGATACTCCTCCATCCATCCCCATCCCCACCCTCCAACCACCCATACCCATCCCTCCCTTCCTCCTCATTACTACCCCTCCATCCATCCCTTCAGCCACCCATCCCCACACACCCCTCTATCTAATCTATCTCACTTGCACTCTCCTCCACTGCTCTGTCCCTTCCAGTCCCCCTCCATCCCTGGATCCCACGGAAATGCGTTTCCAAACCCCCTTCCCCTGCCATCCCCAAGGTGTGGGGGTGTGGCCGCAGGCTTTGCATGGCTGGGACCCGTCCCAGTCTCACATGGTGAAGTTGGAGATGAAGGCCGAGCCGGGCAGGTCTAGGTCGAAGATGGCTTCCTTGGGCTCGGCGTGGGGGTTGCTCAGGTCAGTCCGAACACGGGTGGAGGCATAGCGGGACACAATGGTGGAGCGGATGGAGAAACTGGCCATGGTGAGCTGGGCACAGAAACAGGAATGTGTAGGAAGGTGACTCCAGAGAGCCTTGCCCTGCCCATGGCTGAAAGGGGGTGTGCCTGGAGGGCCTCATTCCAGAGTTGGGGAGAGAAGCCAGGTGTCCTGGTGTCACGGAGTCCCTGGGCGATGCTCTGGAACTGCTCCCCATGAAGCCAGTCAGGACCCGTCGCCTTTCTGTGAGCAGCCTGTCTTCAGGACACACAGCTCACACAGCTTCCACCTTCCTGGGTCTGACCTCGGAGCATTCAGCATCCTCTGCCCCTCCGTGCGCTTCCCCCAGCGAGTCCGCTCAGGCAGGGCTCCTGGGGAAGCCAGAGGGTCCTGCCCCCCAACTCCGCAGTCAGACGTGACTCTCAGCCAGCCAGTAAAACAGAGGTTTATTAGATGACAGGAACATGGTCTAAAACAGAGCTTGCAGGTGCAGAGAACAGGACCCCTCAGCCGGGTCCATTTTGGGGGGCAGTGAGCCAGACAACCCCGTCTGCCCTTCACTCCATGTCCCAGCCAGCCCCAAACTGAAAACCCCCTCCAGCCCCTCCTCCCCTGGGCTTTGTTCCTTTCCTGGTCCAGGTGGTCACCTGATTCCTTTGTTCTCCAACCCTTTAGCTCTCACCTTGCAGGGGGGAAAAGGCCCAGGCCATCAGTTGCCAGGAAAAAGGGTGTCGGCCATTCTCTGTGTCCAGACTCCTGCACACACCTGCCCTCTAGGGCTCTGCAATGATCACACACCCTTACCCCACCACCTAGATACTTAAGAACTGCCTAGGGGAAACTGAGCACCCCCCACAATATTTGGAGAAAACATTAAGAACAGTCCCACTTCGTCACACCTGGCTCCCAGACACCCCCCCGGTGCCCCACTCTAACGCACAAGAACTAAAAATTCATTCTTTCTATTGAAATCGAAGCTGACATTCTCCCGCCGCCCCAGGTCTCCGGAAGCAGGCCCTTCCGCTATGACACCTGCCTGATCTCGCTCCTTTTTACGAGCAAAATCCCCCCAGCCCCCGACGGAATTCCCTCCGTTGGTGCAAAATGGGAGATTCCTGGCTGCACTGGCTCTGGGTCTGAGGCAGCAGCTGCGTGAGTCTGGGGCTCACCCAACGAAGCACGCTGAGGAGTGGCTGTGTCCCAGGGGGAGCCCTGCTTAGCTACACCGGAGACCCAGCGCCTCTGCCCCAGACCCCACCTGGGGTCCATCTCCATGGAATCAATGGGGCCAGACCCCAGCTGGGGTCAATTGGCCATAGCTCCATTAGAGTCAATGGGACCAGACCCCCAGCCGGTGTCCATCAGCCATAGCTCCATGGAATCAATGGGGCGAGATCCCCAGCTGGGGTCATAGAATCATAAAAGATCAGGGTTTGAAGAGACCTCAGGAGGTCATCTAGTCCAACCCCCTGCTCAAAGCAAGACCAACCCCAACTAAATCATCCCAGCCAGGACTTTGTCAAGCCGGGCCTTAAAAACCTCTAAGGATGGAGATCCCCCCACCTCCCTAGGTAACCCATTCCAGGGCTTCACCACCCTCCTAGTGAAATAGTGTTTCCTACTATCCAACCCAGACCTCCCACACTGCAACTTGAGACCATTGCTCCTTGTTCTGTCATCTGCTACCACTGAGAACAGCTGAGCTCCATCCTCTTTCGAATCCCCCTTCAGGGAGTTGAAGGCTGCTATCAAATCTCCCCTCACTCTTCTCTTCTGCAGACTAAATAACCCCAGTTCCCTCAGCCTCTCCTCATAAGTCATCGGCCATACCTCCATTACAATCAATGGGGCCAGACCCCAGCTACACACCCGCTTCTCTTTCCATTGGCAGAAAGCTGTGGTTTTAATTTGTATTGGCTCTTTTCTCTCCTCCGCCCATCTTCAGCAATGCACACCCATATTACTGTAGCACCAGAAGGGCTCAATCAGGATCAGTCTTATGCTGCGCTTGGTGCTGGATAAACAGACCGAAAGATCCAACATCTGCCTTACAATCTAGAGCAGGGGTGGCCAACCTGTGTCTCCGGGGCCACGTGCGGCTCTTCAGAAGTTAATATGCGGCTCCTTGTCTAGGCACCGACACTGGGGCTGGAGCTATGGGCACCAACTTTCCAATGTGCCGGGGGGGAGGGCTCACTGCTCAACCCCTGGCTCTGCCACAGGCCCTGCCCCCACTCCACCCCTTCCTGCCCCCTCCCCTGAGCCTGCAGTCCCTCACTCCTTCCCCCCTCCTCCCCAGAGCCTCCTGCACGCCACGAAACAGCTGATCAGGAGGTGCAGGGAGGGAGGGGGAGATGCTGATCGGCAGGGCTGCCGGTGGGTGGGAGGTGCTGGCAATGGGGTGGGGGAGCTGATGGGGGGGCTGCTGACATATTACTGGTTTCAGAGTAGCAGCTGTGTTGGTCTGTATTCGCAAATAGAACAGGAGGACTGGTGGCACCTTAGAGACCAACACATTTATTTGAGTGTGAGCTTCCGTGAGCTACAGCTCGATGAACGCATCCGATGAAGCGAGCTGTAGCTCACGGAAGCTCACGCTCAAATAAATGTGTTGGTCTCTAAGGTGCCACCAGTCCTCCTGTTCTTTTGACGTATTCCTGTGGCTCTTTGGCAATGTACATCGGTAAATTCTAGCTCCTTTTCAGGCTCAGGTTGGCCACCCCTGATCTAGAGACAAGTGACCCCCAGGTGACCCAGCCCAACTGATGCAGACTTTAACCACAGGTGCTGCAACAAGAAGAGTTTTGATTAGGGGCAGGAATCAGAATGGTTAGATGACTAGACTGGAATCAGAACACCTGGGTTCTCTCCCCGGCACTGGGAGGGCTGTGGGGTGTAGTGGGTTAGAGCAGGGATGCTAGGTGTCAGCACTCCCAGGTTCTAACCCTGGATCTGGGAGGGAAGTGGGTTCTAGTGGTTAGAGCAGAGAACGTGAGGTTCAATTGTGATTTGGAGATGACAACAAGGTCAGGGCTCCTGGGTATCACATCCTCTGCTGTAGCCACTAGACCCCAAAACTTAGCAAGGGGGGGGAAAATAAATGGCCTCACCTCTGGAGTACGGGGGTGCCCGGTGTTGGGTAGAGGTTCCAGGCACATTAGGAGAGCAAAGGGAAGGAGCAGCAGCTGTCTCAGCATTGGCATGATGCGTCCCCGCAGCTCCACCAAGAAGAACCAACCTCCGAGATCTCTTTTTTGGACGCACTTTTTAAAGCTTCACGGGTTTTTCTCCCCCCGCACCTCTCAATGCAGCATTCATGCGGACACAAGCTGTGATTGTCCGCCCCTCGGAGGCTGGAGGGAGGCCAGGCCTTCACTCTCCCCTCTGTAAGATGAAATGAAAACAAAATGTTCAGGCGAGTCCGTGCCCTGGGTTAAAAAGGAAAAAAGGCAAGGAAGCCCGTGCAAGGGTCAACAGGAGCCAGAGCCCGGGAGCTGAAGAACGGGAGGCCAGCAAAAAAGGAGCCGGCTCTGCGTACCTGGCTGGGCTGAACTCCACGGCCAGGAATCAGCCTGGCTCAAGGGTTGCAGGTGCGATGGGTTTCCTTGGAGGAGCCACGGAGATTTTATCGAGCGGGATTTCACACCAGTTACATCCCCGTGATCCATCACGGCGTCTCTTCCCATGGGGCCAGACAGGACAGCTGGGATCATCCAGTCTGCCCCCCTGTAAGGCACAGGGCAGACGACTGCCCTCCACAATGAGGAGGGAGGTTGGATGACTAGGGGAAAGTCCTTCCTCTCTAGGGGACACCCCTGTCAAGCCCTAGGGTGGGAACTGGCTGGCTCAGGGAGGTGGGGAATGGGGCCTTTCCCCTCTAAGGGGCGCCGGCTCCTATCCAGCCCCAGGACAGGGGACCGGCTGTTGGAGACCCTTCGAGTTCATGAGCCAGAGGACGTCAGAATTGCCAGGGTCATTCTTGTAACGCTGATTTCCAAAAGACATAAAGGGGCTCAGGTGTGGAGAAAACTCCGGGCACTGTTATTAACGCAAGCCAGGCCAGCCGCAGGGAGATTCTGGGTTTGGCTGCAATGGAGAGGGAGGGAAGCCATGCAGCATTTCTCTCCGCTGGGAGCTCTGGCTAGGTCGGTACTCCATAGAGCTAACCATGCTAATCACCCAGCCCAGAGGAGGCACTGGGATCTAGTGGCTGGCGGGGCTAGAGTGGAAGCCAGGACACGTGGGTTCTGTTCCTGGCTCTGGCCCTTCCACTCTCTGGGTCACTGGTGGAGCCAGGGAGAGAAGCCAGGAGACTGGCCCCCCAGCTTCCTCCTGCTCTAACCACTAGACCCTACTCCCCTTCCAGAGCCGGGGAGAGAACCCAGGAGCCCTGGCTTCTATCACCCTGCTCTAACCACTAGACCCCACTCCCATAGCCAGCTCCCAATCCTGCCCCCTTCCTCGGGGGTCTGGATTGGGACAGGAGCAAGCTGGAGGTGAAGGGCTATCCGTTTCTCCAGAGCATCCCACAGCTGCTCTCTTTGGAGTAACCAGCCCCTGGACAGATGGGTGTCCGTAGGTCCCAGGTGCCTGCTGAGTGGGGGTGAGCTGGGCCAGTTTACAGGGGCTGTCGGGCGGGATTGAATGGTTTGATCTCTTGGTGAAGATTCGGTCCAATTTCTCAGGGCTGCATTCAGCATCACCAAGTCGAGGCCCTGACCCACTCAAGCAGCTCTCTGGGCCGACCCTTCCTCTCCACTCTGGCCAGCCCCGCAGCTCTGATCCCCATTGTAAACTGAGGCACGGGGCTTCTGTGGCAGAACTGGGAATTGGGTGCTGTCTGGATCGTAAGCTCTTTGGGACAGCGTGATGGGGCCCCAATCTCAGCAAGGGGTGTCTGTGCCAGGGGCCCCAATCTCAGCAGGGGCGGGGTCTGTGCAGTGTCCGGTGCGATGGGGTCCCAATCTCAGTCTGGGGGTATCTGTGCAGCACTGTGCCTGGCGTAACAGGGGCCCCGAGCTCAGGTGGGGGCATTTCTACCATAAGAACGTCTTTTTAAAACGATCTAAAGCCAGGGGCATTACTTTTTGTAGGACCCACACAAACAAATCCCTCTACGGAGGAAGAAACAAACTAGCGGGAAGGCCCGGATTTTTACCAGGGAGGGCTGTTAATCATTGGAACAACTCACCTAAGGACAGGGTGGATTGCCCCTCTCTTGATGTCTTTAAATCAGGACTGGGTGTGGAAGATCCAGCAGAAGCAGTGGGCGCGATCCTAGGACAAATGCTGGACATTCCCCAGCCCGTGTCTCCCAGGTCAGATTCGAAGACCTCCGTGGCTCCTTGCAGCGTTGAGATCCCCGCCAGAGCTGTGCCGATCCCTCGAGGTGGTGGAAGCTAAGCAAGGAAATAAACAAATACAGAGCCAGATCCTTTCTTGGCCCGGCGCGGCTGTTTACATCAACCTCTGCCAAAGACGAGAGGGCCAAGGTTCAGTGAAAAGGCTTCTTCTTTCTTTTTGAAAAAGTCAAAATGACAAAACGAAGGATTCTGGAGCCACAAAAAAGGGGGAATTGGAAAGAAGCTGAAGGAGGCTGGAAGGAACAACCCGGAGCCGTGAAAGAAATTAGTCATTGACAGGGAAAATGTGATGCCTGTCCTGGTGTCTTGGTTATTTATCCGAGCGGTGGGTTTGGAACTCACCCCAAACCAGAGCTGTGCAGGCTGAAAATAGCCAGGTTTTAGTCCCAGGGGCCTGGTGACCAAATGTTTTGAATTTCCATGGCACAAACTCCAGCTGAAATGAGGCTCCCATTGTACCAGGCACTGCAGAGACCCTGACCGAGAGCAGGGCTCCCCCCGTTGTGCCAGGTGCTGCACAGATGCCCATCACCAATGGGTGCCCCTTGTGCCAGGAGCTTACTGAGATGAGTGCCCTCCCTGTGCCCGGTGCTGCACAGACCCCAGCCGAAAGCAGCGCCTGATCATACAAGGTACTGTACATACACACACTTAGAGACAGTCCCAAACCTGACCACCTCAATAGCCAAAGGTTATTTCAACCCATTGGACAGGTGGGGAAACTGAGGCACCTGGAGACACTCCTCCCAATCTCCTGGGTCCCCTTCCAGATCACCCGTCAGCCTTCTGATAATGCTCTCTGCTGGGGTCAGGACGGGGAATGGGTTGTTTTGAGAGGGTTCTTCTCATGCCAGGAATAAGATGGCACAGGGGGGTGATCCTCACAGGAGCTACCTGTGCCAGGGGATCCAACGGAAGGTGTAGCCAAGGCCTGTGCCAGCTGCGCCCGGGTGCTGGAGAACGCTGCCCGTCGTGGGTCTAGGGTGAAATGGCTCCCAGCTCGGCGGATCCTGACCTGGTTTTGCTTCCATCACTCACACAGTGCACTCCTTATTTCACCTGCCCACTGGCCCAGACGCAACGGGTGGGGCTGCAGGGGAAAGGCCGACAGGGTCAATCAGCCCGGCTGTGGGAGGAGAGGCTGGGAGCCCGGACTCCTGGGTTCTCTCCCTGGCGCTGGGAGGGGAGTGCGGTCTGGTGGTTACAGGGGGAATCCTGGGGCTGGGAGCCAGGACTCCTGGGTTCTGTGCTCTGAGGTCCATCCCGTCCCCTTTTGTGTCACCTCAGTTTCCCCCTGAAGTTATCGTGGGGGTTGGGCAGTGGGGAGAGGCTGGGCAGGGCCCTGGGCTGAGGACCCAGGAGGGCTGGGGAACTCCTGCAACCGCAATGGGGCTGAGGGCATGGGGGAGAGAGGCAGGTGTGGGCGTGGCCTGCAAGGGGCGGGGGAGAGGGGCAGGTGTGGGTGTAGCCTGTAAGGGGGCGGGGGAGAGAGGCAGGTGTGGGCATGGCCTATAAGGGGGAGGAGAAGAGGGGCAGGTGTGGGTGTGGCCTGTAGGGGGCGGGGGAGAGGGGGAAGTGTGGGCGTGGCCTGTAAGGGGGCGGGGAGAGAGGCAGGTGTGGGCGTGGCCTGCAAGGGGCAGGGGAAAGGGGCAGGTGTGGGCGTGGCCTGCAAGGGGCAGGGAAGAGGGGCAGGTGTGGGCGTGGCCTGTAGGGGGCGGGGGAGAGGGGCAGGTGTGGGCATGGCCTGTAAGGGGGCGGGGGAGAGAGGCAGGTGTGGGCGTGGCCTGCAAGGGGCAGGGAAGAGGGGCAGGTGTGGGCGTGGCCTGTAAGGGGGCGGGGGAGAGAGGCAGGTGTGGGAATGGCCTGCAAGGGGCAGGGAAGAGAGGCAGGTGTGGGCGTGGCCTGCAAGGGGCAGGGAAGAGGGGCAGGTGTGGGCGTGGCCTGTAAGGGGGCGGGGGAGAGAGGCAGGTGTGGGCGTGGCCTGCAAGGGGCAGGGAAGAGGGGCAGGTGTGGGCGTGGCCTGTAAGGGGGCGGGGGGAGAGAGGCAGGTGTGGGCGTGGCCTGCAAGGGGCAGGGAAGAGGGGCAGGTGTGGGCGTGGCCTGTAAGGGGGCGGGGGAGAGAGGCAGGTGTGGGCGTGGCCTGCAAGGGGCAGGGAAGAGGGGCAGGTGTGGGCGTGGCCTGTAAGGGGGCGGGGGAGAGAGGCAGGTGTGGGCGTGGCCTGCAAGGGGCAGGGAAGAGAGGCAGGTGTGGGCGTGGCCTGCAAGGGGCAGGGAAGAGGGGCAGGTGTGGGCGTGGCCTGTAAGGGGGCGGGGGAGAGAGGCAGGTGTGGGCGTGGCCTGCAAGGGGCAGGGAAGAGAGGCAGGTGTGGGCGTGGCCTGTAAGGGGGCGGGGGAGAGGGGCAGGTGTGGGCGTGGCCTGCAGGGGGCAGGGAAGAGGGGCAGGTGTGGGCGTGGCCTGCAAGGGGCAGGGAAGAGGGGCAGGTGTGGGCGTGGCCTGCAGGGGGCGGGGGAGAGGGGCAGGTGTGGGCGTGGCCTGCAAGGGGCAGGGAAGAGGGGCAGGTGTGGGCGTGGCCTGCAGGGGGCGGGGGAGAGGGGCAGGTGTGGGCGTGGCCTGCAGGGGGCGGGGGAGAGGGGGAAGTGTGGGCGTGGCCTGTAGGGGGCGGGCCTAGGAGTCCATGACATGGCCCACGCGTGGGGGAAGGGCGCCCACCCCACCCCCAGTGACTGGAATCCAACCGTCACACTGTGCTCGCAGCATGAGGCCCGGGCCGGGGGCGGGGCGGGGCCGGGCCGGGAGGGGTGGGGCCGTTCGCCGCACGAGGCCGGGGGCGGGGCCGGGGCCGGGGCCGGGAGGGGAGCGGCCGTTCGCCGCACGAGGCCAGGGGCGGGGCCGGGAGGGGAGGGGCCGTTCGCCGCACGAGGCCGGGGGCGGGGCCGGGAGGGGAGGGGCCGTTCGCCGCACGAGGCCGGGGGCGGGGCCGGGAGGGGAGCGGCCGTTCGCCGCACGAGGCCGGGGGCGGGGCCGGGAGGGGAGCGGCCGTTCGCCGCACGAGGCCGGGGGCGGGGCCGGGAGGGGAGCGGCCGTTCGCCGCACGAGGCCGGGGGCGGGGCCGGGAGGGGAGGGGCCGTTCGCCGCACGAGGCCGGGGGCGGGGCCGGGAGGGGAGGGGCCGTTCGCCGCACGAGGCGGCGCAGGCGCGAGGGGGGCGCGCTCGATCGGGTCGGGGCGCTGAGGGGAGCGGGGTGGGGCGCGGGGGAACCCCAGGCATTGGGGGTGTCCCGGGGAAGAGGGAACCCCTGAGGGCTGCCCCAGGAGCCCATGGGGCTGGGCGGGAGCTCCCAGGGGGCCAGGCAGTGAGGACGGTCACAGGGTGCCCCTGAGGGACTCTGCTGGGACAGCGGGGCCCTGAGGTGGTGCTTGGGGGCAAGTAAGGACCTTAAGCCCCCCTGGCATGGGGGCAGCAGGGCCCAGAGGCAGGAGCAGGGGTCTGGCTACCTCTTCCCTGGGAGCTGGGATCCAGTGGGGCAGCCGTGGGGAGAAGGAGCCAGAGGCTGCACCCCAGCCCCCCTTAGCAGCCCCCCAGGGCTCCTGTCCTTGCCGTACCCACAGGGCAGACGGTCCGCCTGGGAGTGATGGCCCAAATGAGGTGCAGTCAGGGGCTTGGCCCCTCTCCGGGATGGAGCTTGCCTTGGGGATACTCCCCTCTGCTGTGCCCCTCTCCCAGCCAGCCACTCCCCCCATGCCCCATTCTTCACCCCTCCGCCCCCAGCCACTCCGTGACCCAGGAGCCAGATGGAAGCAGACACCCCCTAGAGGGGAAAGGCCCCCTGCCCCATTCCCTTAGCCAGCTCTCCATCCTAGCAAAGAGAGTTTCCAGCACCCAAATCCCTTCCCTACCCTCCCCGTTCTGCTCTGATCCTCTTCTGCCTCTGCCCAGGCAGACAACATGGCCATGGAGGAGGACTACGCGCTGACCCAGACCCAGACCGCCAGCCAGGTGCAGCGGAACTTGGAGAGATTCTCAGGGGCTCAAGTGGATCAGAAGGTGGGGGGACCTCTGTGGCACATGGGAGCCTGTTCTTCTCCCAGGGCAGCCCCATCCCTTTTTGTAACACAGCTTGTCTTCCCCCTGCAGGTGAGTGAATTGGTGCAATTCCTGCTGATCAAGGATCAGAAGAAAATCCCCATCAGACGGGCAGGTAAGAGGCCTGCTAGATGGTCATGGAGTTTGGGGTGGGGGTTCCACAGCCCCCTTCAGGTTAGCAGAGGGGCTCCCTGAGGCCACTTCTGTTCCCCACTCAGTCTGAACCCAGGTCTCTGAAGCAGCAGAGTCAGGATTCAGGCAAGGTGCTTTTCACACTGCATGTGCCACATCTATATGCTTTGATTAGGTGTTCTGTAGTCACTGCCCTGCGCTCCCTTCTCAGAGTTGGTGATAGAACCCAGGAGTCCTGATTCACAGCCACCCCTGCCCTAACCACTAGACCCCACTCCCCTCCCAGAGCTGCAGATGGAACCCAAGAGTCCTGATTCCCCAGTCACCAGCGAGGTTTGAAACTTTCAGAGACCCGACTTGAATCCCCATAATGCAGGCTATGGGATCCCCAGAAGGAGGTAGCTAATGAGGAGGTGGATGTCACTGGAACAGTCACTAAGAAGTTACAGCTCCAGACCCCCGAGTTCTATTTCCAGTTCTGCCACTGGCCCTGCTGGGTTAGAGGGTTACCACTGCAGGGGCCCTGTCCTGCCAGCAGGGGGTGCTAGGAGCCATTGGAATGGGTGTAACAGGGCTCCCCCTCTTCCCCCTTGTAGATATTCTGAAGAACGTCATCAAAGACTACAAAGAGGTCTACTGTGAGATCATTAACCGAGCCAGCAGGACCCTCCAGCAGGTGGCGCTCTTCTGAAGCAGTGCCAGGCGCTAGGGGATGCTGTGCTGTGGGGTGGGGTGCAGGGGCTCCCCTGCCCTTCAGTGCCAGGCGGTAGGGGGCACCCTGCTGCACAAGGGACCATCTTTCAACTGAGCGATCTTTAAACATTGTTTAAAACTGTTATGTTTGCCTTGGTGTGCTGGGTCGGTCTTGGCTACTTTATGTTGCAGCCCTTTCCTCTTGCCCCTCCCCTCCTAATGTCAGGAATAGAACCCAGGCGTCCTGGTTCCCAGCCCTCCTTGTTCTAACCATTAAACTTCACTTACCTCTTTGTCAGGGATAAAAAACCCACGAGTCCTGGCTCCTAGCCCGCCTTGCTCTAGCTCCTAGATATCACTCTCTTATATTCTCTCTCGGACATTGGGAAGGATGGCCATACTAGGTCAGCCCAAAGGTCCATCTAGCCCACTGTCCTGTCTTCCGACAGTGGCCAAGGCCAGGTGCCCCAGAGGGAATGAACAGAACAGGGAATCACCAAGTGATCCATCCCTTGTCACCCATTCCCAGCTCCTGGCAAACAGGCCAGGGACACTATCCCTGCCCAGCCTGGCTAATAGCCACTGAAAGAGAGAACTCAGTAGTCCTGGCTCTCTGCACCCCCCCTACTCTAACCACAAGACTCCACTCCCCATGCCATGCCTCTGTGCAGTTAACCTTTCCCCTGCACAGGTGTTTGGGCTGCAACTGGTGGAGATAGACACTAAGCATCACATCTACATCCTGGTCAGCAACCTGCCACGCCTGGATGGGGAGAACCTGAAACAGTAAGGGAGGGAGGAGGCCGGCTGGCTGGGGGGGCACTGTCACAGATCCCCCCCCCCTCTTGGGAGCCTTCCAAGCCCTCAAGGGTTAATCCTTGTCATTAGACTCCTCCCACCCCCTAAAAACTGCCATGGCTGATCCCTGAATGCCCCCATCCTTGCATTGTTCCCCTGCCCCCTAGTGGCCAGAAGACTGCCTTGCAGTCTCCATGCCCAGCTGGAGGTCTGCTGGGAGATCTGTAGGCTATCCCTGGCTCTAGTGGTTACAGCAAGGGAGGCACCTGGGAGGCAGGACTCCTGGGTTCTATCCCCAGCTCGGGGAGGGGTGTGGGGGAGGTTGGGAGCTAGGATGCTGGGTTTTTTTCCCCAGCTCTGGAAGGTTTGAGCGGGGTCTTTGCTCTGCCATTAAACCCCTTACCTCCTTGTCCAGATCCCTAGTCCTCCGCAGAGTTCCCTGGGTGAGTGACACCCCCATTGTGTGTTGCAGGGACGATCGCACGGCGAAGCTGGGCCTCCTCACCGTCATCCTCAGCTTCATCTATATGAAGGGCAATGCTGCTAAGGAGTGTAAGCCCCACCCCTTCCCTGAGAGCCCCGCCCCTTCTCTGAGGGCCCTGCCTCTGATTGACAGGCTCTCTCTGCCCTTTCAGCTGATGTGTGGGAGATGTTGAAGAAACTGCAAGTTGAACCCGGGTAGGTGTGGAGTCTGGGAAACCAGGGATTAATCCCCAGTAGGCTCCTCCCCCTCTGCGCATCAAACAGCCAATGGAGTGGCTTGCAGAGTGGGGCAACCAGTGAGCCCCCCGGAGGCCCTACCCCTTTAACACATTCCTATCCCCAACCCTTCCAGAAAGAGACACAAGGTCTTTGGGAATGTCAGGGAGTTGGTGACTGTGGAATTTGTCCAGCAAAAGTAAGTTTGGGCTTGCCAGGGAGGGGAGTGGTTAGAGCTAGGCAGTGCGGGAGCCAGGAATCCTGGGGTGACATTGCCACAGAACCCTGTGGCGCCTCCTGCTGGTTGTCCAGGGAATTAGCTCTTTTCAGTCAAGAATGCCCTCTGCCATTTGGTGTCTCGCCTGCCGCTGGCCCTGTGCCCCTCCCAGACCCCGGTGCCCTTCTAGATTAGGGTTCTGCCCCCTGGTAGTACCCCCTCAGTCTGGGTCTCCCCTCCCAGGGGAACCTGCAACCCCCTATCCCTCCCTTGCCTCAGTGGCTACTGTTAGTCATCATCTAACCCCCGCTCCCTGGGGCAGACTGCAGTCTGTACCACTTATCGCCAGGGGGGTCGGACCAGCTGCCTCTGTCTAGGTCTGGGCTGCTCCTCTGCAGTCTTAGGACCCTTTGTGGGCCTTTACCTCGGCCTGCAGCCTGGGGCTCTGCTAGGCTGGAGCTCCCCAGCTCCCTCTGTGGTTCCGCAGCATTGCCCTGCCCTAGGTACCCTTCTCAGCTTCCCAGGCAGCCTGGTCCTCCTCTCTCTGTGTAGCTAGAGAGAGTCTGTCTCAGCTCCTGGCTAACAGCCCTCTTATAGGGCCAGCTGTGGCCTGATTGGGGTGTGGCCCCACCTGTGGCTACTTCCCTCAATCAGCCTAGCTTTCCTCTGGCTACAGCCCTCACTGAGGGCTGTTTTAAGCCCTTTGAAGCATGGCAGGGTGACTACCCTGCCATAGGCAGTCTCTGGGAAGTCTGAGGTGCTGGGATGGCCCGATGGGGCAGGCAGTTTGAATCCCGCTGGGCCAGCGGAGCCCAGAGCCTGGCCGTTTATACCCTGCCGCTGAGGACCTTGCTGCCCCGCCATGCAGGCGGACAGTTCCCTTTGCCCGCAGGCGTCAGGGACACATGCAGCCTGGGCTGGCCCTTTACCTTTCTCTGGCAGCTGGGGAGATCAAGCAAGCCATTTTCCCTCTGGGGAGGGGGAGGAGGGCTGGCCCCAGGGGCTCTGGAGATGCAATGGGGGGTGGAGCCTGCGCCTCCCACAGACTGCGGGAAACAGACACAGGGAGAGGAAAGGAGTAGTGGACCAGCTAGAACCCCGATGTCTGCACCCCAGTGCTGAACCCACTCTGCCATGCTGGGAGCAGGTCACTGTGGCCATATGGAGGAAGTGGGGGGAGAGCCCCAAGGGAGGATGTGGGCTCAATGACAGAGTGGGGGTGCGTGTGAAGATTTGATGGTCGCTGATCCTCATGCCCCAACCCCTCAGGTATCTGGAGTACAGCCGCATGCCCACCACAGACCTGGCAGAGTTTCAGTTCCAGTGGGGGCTGCGGGCCACCAAGGAGACCTCCAAAATGCAGATCCTGCACTTTGTCGCCAAGGTATGTGCTGTTGGGGGCTAGCCCCAGGGGGCTGAGGTTCAGGGGGCTGGGGTCACTCAGAGGGGGCCATGGGGCTATGAATAGGAGGATGAGGGCTAAAACCCCAGGGGGCAGGGCTTAGGAGGATAGTCCCTGGGCAACCAAGGGGGCTGAGGCTTGGAGGGTCCCCTACAGGGGGTAGTCGACATGTGTCCCTTAAGGGCTGCTGGTGCCCAAGTAGGCTTGGGAGGGAGGGGGGAAATTGCAGCCCAGCTGTCCCAGCCCCCATTCCTTCTCTGCCCATCAGATCCAGAGCAAGGACCCCACAGCCTGGACCAGCCAGTACAATGAGGCGGCAGCAGCAGAGGCTCTGTCCCACCACACTAGTGCCCCTGGAGATGCTGGTGGGGCCAGCCGGGGGGCACGCAGGAGGAAGCAGTCAGCCTGGTCCACTTCACCCACAGGTGCCACCCCGCGGCGCCTTGTGAACCAGCAGCCCTTGGGAGCGGGGTCCTCTGCCCATGCTGAGCCCAGCATCCAAGGATCGAGTGGGACACTGCCTTTGCCCTCCTGATCCCAGTGCCCCCCGGCACAGCAGCTGCAGAGATCCCGTCTCACCTTTCTGGGGTGGGGCCCAGGCATCTTGTGCAAACTCCTCCCGCCCAAGTCGTCCCGCAGTGGGCTTCCTCTGCGCAGAGGGACCCAGCGGTGACCTCTCACCCTTGTAATTCACCCAACATTACTTTCAAATAAAGCTCCCAACCCCCGTTAGTGGTGGGGGTCAATTGTGTTACTCACGGGGTCTTTGCAACAGGCAGCTGGGGAGCCCCAGTTCTTAGCATTGCATAGCTGAGTGGGTCCATTACCTGACAGCTGGGGCTGTGTCTGCTGCTGCTGCATTCCTCCCTGCCTGCAGTGCCTCCCAGTGGTATTAATGCCCCATGGCGATCACAGAGCCTTGCTGCGTGGTTACGCTCAGGGCAGCTCCCCTCTTGCCGAGCAGTTGGCTCAGGCTCTCTGCAGACTCGGGCAGCGTTGCTCCAGGGAAGCTCCCCTCCCTTGCCAAGTGACTGGCTCAGGCTTGCTTTGGGCTAGAAACTAATTGAAAGCCGAGCTCGTGTGGCTATCTGTGACTTCAGGAGCCGGGGCCCAAGGCCTCGATCTAGCCCCCCCACCGACCTGGGGACAACAGCACTGACTACACAGCCGTGGCAAAGGAGAGAGCCGGATTTAATGGGTGCGAGCAGTTAATAGTGAGGGGGCACCGTCCCCAGTGCTTCCTCGGGCTCCCGCGTCACGTCGACATTCTGCAACGAGATCCGGGAAGCACAGGGTTACGTGCGCCTTGCGGGCTGGAGCCATGCCTGGTCCCATGGCTTTGAGAGCGTAGGGGTGTCCCTTTGTGCCTCAGTTTTCACTCCCTACCCCTACTCATTTAGACTGTTCTCTGGGGCAGGGACTGTCTCATTAGGGCTGTGTCATGCCTGGCATGCCAGGAGCCCTGATCTCATGCAGGGGTGTCTGTGACGGACCCCTGCTGTCAGGTGGGGTGTCAGGTGCACCCCCAGGGATGTTAATGGGGTTAGCACAGGTTACACACAGACTTTAGTGGCAGTGTAGTGGGATGGGGGGCAGGAAGGGGGTAGTGAAGCGTTTTAGGAGCTGGCAGGAAGGGGGCCCTGCCTGATTAAGGGGGCCAAAGCTGACTTTACCTGCACCCCAAGCTGTGAGAAAGTTGTCAGACCAAGATCTTCCAAGTGGGACCATTTGGTGGGCTCCAGGCTGGCCAAAGGGTTGGTCCGGTAGTGCCGGTAATGGGGGAGCAGGCTAGAGTTGTGGGGCAGGTGCTGAGATGGAGGTGGCCGAGGAGGGGAGATAAGAGGAAATGGTTAGAGGGGGCATGCAGATCTGCTTCCCCCTCCTCAGGTGGGTGTGGGTTGGAGGAGACAGGAGGAGCTGGGATCCAGGTGTGGAGGGTGTTAATTTCACATGTGCTTTTGTCAGTTTCGGGGTGTCCCTCAGTGAGATCAGGACTGGGAGATTGCATTGGCCTAGCCCCCCAGTTTGGGGGCAGGGGGAGAAGCCACTCACCTGGGGGCGCTCCCGGTGCGTGTTCACGGCCTCCACGTTGAGGAAAATGGACTCCACTTGGCAACCTGCCATCACCCCATAAAGGAAAAGGCCCCTAGGTTAGAGCAGAGAGATCCATGCCCCCCCTTTCCTCCCTGGGGTGGGGAGTATAACTGGGTGTGGTCCCCCAAAATTTTTTTTGGGTGGGGACCTGCCAGTGGGACGTGAATGGGCCCAGAGGGATCTGGCACCTGTCAGAGGGCAGCGGGACCAGCCCGTGGTGAATGGAGATGCACTCACCGTATGCCACGGGGGTCAGTTTGAGCACGGTGTGCAGTGGGCATTTCAGATAGGGCAGCTCTTCTGCGGGGAGAGAAGAGGGCAGTTAGATGGGGGAGTTTTGGGGTGAACAGGATCCAGCCCATGCGACACACTATCCCTCATATTCACCACTTTTAAATGGTTGTTATATTTTGTATAAAGTATGCCTTGTGAGCTATACATTGAAAAGTCATAATCTGCTGAACATTGTTGTCCTGTTACACTGTGTGTATCAACATTGTATAGGGAGTTATGAGATTTGGCTATCTGATTGTTACTGACGTGTTATAATTCTGGGCAACACTCACAAGCCAGTTTCCCAGGGACAAAGACACACTGGCTTGCCAGCAAAGTGTTAGAGCCATGACCTGTCTAATTGGACATTCAACAGAAGGGGAAAGGGGATAGACGAAGGCATGTACAATTGATATGAAGGACAGTTTGCAGAATACGTACATCATGGAACTTCATGATCCCATGGGCCAGCAAGGGCTTTTTCAGAGAAAAGGGTCAGGATATAAGAAGAGTGGCTCCCTCTTCGCCCCCATCTCTACACATGGGATCAAAAACCCATCAGTGAACTGGGAGGATTGGTCCGAACTGGATGGCTTTCCACTTAGCAGGGACCGCTGAAAGTTCTGGGGTGAGAGACCTTTTGCTTTCAAATCCTATTTAGCTTGGTAAAGTTTACGAGTTAGCTGGTACTTTTATCCTTTTCTTTTCGGTGGTAACCAGTTTGGACTTTTGTGCCCATGTCACTTCCAGTCACTTAACAGCTCTCCTGCTCTAGTTAATGCACTTGTTTTAACGGTTTATCTAAACCAGCGTGGTTGGGGCATCTCTCCTCAGGTTAACAAAGGCTGGGGCATGTTGGTTACCGGTTGATGGAATGACTGACTTCTGCACTGTTTAGGCGGGGTCCTGAGCAGTGTGAGCCACACATTTCTGCGGTGCAAGGCTGGGACTGAGGGATGCGCAGGTGTCGCCCTGTATCTATTCATGAGTGGCTGGGAGAGCATGTGTGGGGCACTTTGCTGGGGGGCCGGGGCATGGGCCTGGGGTGGCTGCTTGCCACTAGCAGAGCAGTAAGAGACGTCCAGGGCTGGAGAATTAAGGGGATAGGCACAAAAGGTCAGAGACTTACCAAAGAAAATAAAAGGGAAGGACACCGATTAAGTCCCAAACCTTACTCAACTGAGCAGTATTTGGACCAAGCAGTTTCTCTCACCCCCCTGGGTGTTGGCGGTATGTTGCTGTCCTTCATACGCAGGCTTCCCCCTTAAGCTTGGGACCAGTCTCCTCGGTTCAAGTCTTTATCTTCCCAGTGTTCCTGCTGCTTCCAGCGTAGGTGCGGGAGGGGAAAGGCCGAAGCATGATGCCACTGTCCTCTATTTTATATCCTCAGTCCCTGTGCCTGGCAAACACCAGCCCAGACATCACAGAGTGGAGCAATCCCCCCATGGTGTGATGCTTGCACCCCCCACTGATGAAGGATCATTGAGCACCCACCTGGGTGTGGGGAACTGGCCGTGGCCGACTCCCAGACTTACACCATATTTCAATAATAACCATACAGCAAAGTCTTACACGTTAACGCTGTACATATCTGGACGGAACAATGGGGTTCAGCACATCATGACCTTTCCTAGGATACCTTACATGGCATGCTTGGTATGAAATATCACAGCCATCTATGAACGGTAGACATGGGGGTTACAGGTACAGTGTGTCCCAAGGGGGCAGCGGGCTGGGAGGGGGTAGCTGAGGGGGTACCTGCGCTCTTGTCCAGGAAGTAGGCCAGCAGGCAGCGCATGACGGCCTGATGGCAGATCACCAGCACATTCTCCTGCCGCTCCAGCTCCATGATGACGGGCTCCAGCCGCTGCACCAGGTCTTCATATGACTGAGGACGATTGTGGGGGCTGATGTCAATGAGGGAGATGCTGTCTCCCTCCATCTCCTCCCCGCTGGCACAGGTTAACAACAATTGTTACCCAAATCTGGCCATAGATTCTACAGTGGCAGGAAGTTCCATGGGCCCATTGTGTGTAAAAAATCTGCGCCCTGCATCATGGGGCAGAGAGTTCCACAGGTTAAGTGTGTTGCCAAATTCATTCCCTTTAGGAATACCCCACAGCAGGAGACCCATCACTAAACTCCTGGGAACACTCGCTGGCAAGGAGTTCCACAGTCTGAGTGTGTGGCTAAACTCCTCCTCTTGGAAATACCCAGTAGCAGTGAGTTTCCCAGATTATTTAGGTCTGTCACTATAATTTGCCTCCAAGATCATGTGGCAGGGGGTTCCATAGGTTACTGACAAGTGACTCGCCCCCCTTCATGCCCCTGATCCCGCTCCAGTCAGGGTGCAGAGCACCCCCCTTACCTCCCCTTTCGGGTATCGGTATCGGTACTTGTCTTGATCGCGCAGGGCAAACTCCTCTGGGTGATGGGTCTGGATCTCCTCATAGGACATTTCCTCACAGACGCCCTGGAACACCCCATGCCGTTACAGGGGGGTGGCTGGACACCCGGTTCCGTCCCCACCTCTGGGAGGGAGGGGGGGATCTAGTGGGTTAGAGTGAGGATGGGGCGGGCGGACGCCAGGGTTCTCACCGCATCGATCTCGTTCA